CAACATAATTAACCACGGAGTGTCAGAGACGGGTGATAATTTTTAGTTTATTCTCAGCTCATTTTCAAGCAAAATTTTAGCTTGAAAATACTTCTGCCTTTGGCAGTAACTCTCAGAAGTGGAATTTGCTGGAAGCCTTCTATTTTCATCACTCTGATTGCTTTATTTAGGTTGCAAATCACTGATTTGGTGCGTGAGAAATTGCCATGTTTGGGACAGCAAAGATTTTGGTTAATAGATTGATGAGATTCCCACTTGTTTGTAAAATATTTTTTAAAAAAAGCAGACTCAGAGTTTCAACTCATCGCTCATTGTGTTCAGGACAGCGAGAAGACAGGAACCTCCGTCATCATTTCAACTCTGCGGTTTGTTTGTTTGTAAGGATTTACATATGTACTTGGAGGCAGAATCGCACGGAGAGGGAGACAGAGATCTCCCATCCACTGGCTCTCTCCCCACGTGGTGACAACGACCAGGGCTTTCCTTCCAATTTTCACCTGCCTGCTCACACACACACACCCCTGATCAGAAAGGACATGGTTGAGGGGCAGAGGTGCCCCAAAACCTTACTGTCTGGAAATCGCACCAGGGGAATTAACGTAACAAGTTTTATTGAGGGGTCCTCGGAAGATTCATGCAACAGGTTCAATATGAAAGAATCATTTGCACCAAAATAAACATCCTTTAGTTCCATTCCCTATGAAGTTTTAACTTAAAAAAAAAATTATTTTATTTATCTGAAAGACAAATTGACATACAGGGAAAGAAACAGAGAGGTCTTGCACCTGCCAGTTCATTCCATGAACGGTGATAGCTCAGTCTTTGGGTCCCTGCCACCCCCGTGGGAGACCAGCACCATATTCCTGGATCCTGGCTATGGCCTAGGCCCAGGGCTGGCTGCTACGCGTATTTGGAGAATAATTCAGTAGATGAAGAGTTCTCTCTCTCTGGTATTTCTCTCCTTCTTAAATAAGGGGGTATCTCTACTAACAAACAGACATTGTAATATAGATTCCATTCCTGAATCTAGCCATGCCAAGGCTACCTTTTTCTTTTTTACATCATTAACTGAAGAAAACTGGGTGTCCTTTAAAGATTTATTTTTTAAGATGAAGAAAGAAAAAAGTCAGAATGAACAAAGCCCAGTGTGTAAGGTGGATGCTTAATGATCTCCCATTAAAACTCACAAAATTGCTCGTCTGATGAGATGAGCAGGGACACGGATTCCTGGTAGACATTTCTCTGTGGGGCAGATTTCCTGAGAGTTTTTCCACTGGAACCTTGACTAGCTTTTGAACTTCTCTCTTAATAAGCAGAAATTATCATTCGTGGGCCTAGCAGGAAGCTAGGAGGCAGGAAGAACATCGCCATGGCCTTTGCCCTCTGTCCTTTGACCTTAGCCCTTTGGCTTGTGCCTTGGCTGGCGCCACCTGGTGGCAGCAGTTTGGCTGCAGGATCGCACTGGCCAAGCTAAGTTTCATCTCTCACTGCAATCCTTGGAAGAAATGCTCCAGAGTCTTCAGGTCCCTTGTTTAAAATTACATGAGTCAGGGTGGGGGTGCTCTGTGGCCGTGCTTGGATTTGCCCACCGTTCCTGTTTTGTCTGCGTGTAATCAGGCATGACGGTGGCGTGGCCTGTCATCATTGGGGATGGAGTGGCCTTGCAGGGAGCGCTCTGGGAAGATGCTGGACGCAGGCCAGATGCTAACAGCAGACCTGCTGCCAGGAGGCCAGGAATCTGCTTCTGTTTCTCTGACCAAAAATTCAGTGTCAAATAAACTGCTTCTTCGAGTTGGACTCTCCAGAGAAACCAAAAAGGCAGGGTTGATTCCCCAGGTTCCCACCGGCACACACACAACGCCTTTGGAAGAGTAATTAAAATTTCATGTCAAAGCCACCTGAATTTGAGAACAATGAAATTCAGGTTTTGCTTCTTACAGGCACAATCTAGAGACACACGGTCTCTGAATCTGACCTACTTTAAAGTGGTAATAATCTGTGTGTGTGGGGGGGATTAGCTTGTGGATGCTAAATAATTTACTTTCAAATTCCATTACAGTTACTGTGATATTTATGTGGCAGCACACTTTCCAATTTCATGACCTTGAATATATTGCTTTTCTTCCTTTCCACCTTACTGATATTTAGCAAATGAATTTGGTGGTGGTGGGGGGTGGGGATGTGTGATACTATCTGAAACATGTCATTCAGGAGAAGTCAAACATTAATATGGTGATCAAGGCCTCAGCTGGAGCAGGTGCAGAGCCTGACTCTCACCCCCTCTCCCCAGTGCCAAAAATGCCAGCTCTGGGTGGTCCACTGTTCCATCCCTGGTGCCTGACACAGTTCTTGAGCTGGGACAGGTAGGTGCTCCATACAAGACAACAGACTCTTCTGACGAACAAATCAAGCAGGTTTCTAAGAAGCCAGTGCTGAGAAGCGGTGAAGGAGTTGAGAACGAGGCCCGAGGACCAGGACCATCAGCAACTCTGGGCACTTGTCAGGCTTTCTTCAGAAGTGCTGAGCCCAAGTCTGCACTGTGACAGAGTCCCCAGGAGACCAGCAGGGATGCTAAAGTGTACACAGCACTGTGCTTCCCAAACTTGGCCATCACTCGTGGAAGCGTTGTTAAAAGGATTTGTTTGAAGACAGAAAGGGCAAGGAAGAGGAAGACACACAAGAGAGAGATCTTCCTTCTGCTGGTTTACTTTCCAGTTAATTATCTTTTAAAACAGGCTTTTGTTTATTATATATATGTATATGCATATATATAATTTAAATTCAACCACTTTCATTTTATTCAAAAGGCAGAGAGAGACAGCCAGTCAGATCCCTCCCATCTGCTGACTTCTCCTGAAATGCTGAGAACTCACACATGGGAGGCAGCGACTCCAGCGTCCAAGCTACAGGCTCCCCAGTGTGCATCAGCAGGATGCAGGACCCCAAGTGACGCCAGCATGTAAGCCAGACACTGGCACGGGATGCGGGCGTCCCAACAGGCGCTCTCACACCGAGCCAAACACTCCCCTCTAAAATGATCTTACTCATTACCTTTGATCACATCCTGGAAATGTTCATTTCTAGCATTTAAAATGAATTCTTCCTAGAAATCTCTTAATTCTGCCTGTTTTTAATGTTTTATTTCTTGTCGCATGGAATCAGATCTGCTATTTGACCTGCTTCTTTGAGCATCTATCTGTCTGTCTGTCACTACTGCTCTCCCAACATCTCTCAGCCTGGGGAATTCAGAGGGAACAGATTTACTTTCCCGCAGTGCCAGAGGCTGGGCATCCGGGGTCAAGGCTCTGGCAGTCGGGATGTCTGCTGAGGATTCTCCTATCATCTAAAATGCAGCAGCTGGATGGGTTGCGACATCGTAGGAGAGGCAAACAGCTGGCCTGCAGCTCTGGTATCAGGATGCTGCTCTGTTCCCAACGGCTCTGCTCCCATGAGAGAACCACATGCTCAAGTGGGAGGGACCCAATCAGATCATAGCAGCCTCCCGGGCAGTGCCCAGCACCATGTGAGCACAGCTGCTTCTTCCTGGGTGGGGAACATGGGCAGGAGGGGTGGGATGCGTCTCTGTGCTCTGAAATTCGTAATCTGAAATACTTACAATTTGCTCATTTTATAGAAATAATGTTTATAAGACAGGTTTGTTTTGGAAAAACAGTTTTTAAACCCAGGAGTTTGTTTTTAGTAATACACACGTTCCATAAACTCTCTGAAGTATTGCTTTTTCTGATGTGATCAAAAATCTTATTTGTGATCAAAATCTTACTTGGACACAGCCTCAAATTTACAGATAAGCTGTAATAACAACAACATATTTATAGCTCCTGTTTTATGTCCATGTTTTTTGAACATTTGAGAGTAGGTAGTATATACCACAATGTTTTAGCACAAATATTTCAGTGCCTGTTTCTTACAAAAGTAAGAATTTCTCTTATATGAGCATAGTAAGAAGGGGTATCTTGAGTAATTAGACATTTACACATTAAAATCTCACGAAGGCCACAGGACTGTTTTGTCCTGGCGCATCTCAGTATCCACTTTTCTCTCCCGTTGTCCTGGCCCTTTGATTGTCCTTGGCCCTTCAACTTTTAAATTCTGGCACACATGTTTATTATCTGGTCTTCTGTGATGTAGGACCCTTACGGAGAACAAATCCCTTTGGTGGAACTGGCTGGTTGTCTTAGTGCTGGGCTGCTTCTCTGGGCGGGCCTTGTAATGAACTGGTGCTTAACTCAACGGCAGCTGAACCAGAGAAGCACGAGTCTCTTTGTAAGCAAAGTTGTGTCTACAATAGGCCTTGGGCACATTCCTAGGTTTGTGCATGCACTAAAGTCGACTTTGTCAACCAGCAGACCTTGGAAAGATTTTTCTCAAGCTTGGAGCAATGCACAGCAGACATTTGGACTAACTTGGCTAATCTAACTTGGATAACTTCATTAGTCTGAAAAGAATGAACAATGTGTGACCTGGCCGGCTGAGTTCTCCACAAGCATTTGAAAGCAGCAAAGAGTGAAGTTGAACCGGCAGCTCAGAACTCTGCCTGTCCACCAAGGAGTCGTCCCATTTCAGACTCCCAGGTGATTGCTACAGCAGAACACGGCTGGCCATCCTGGCCGGGGGTGTCCATGCTCTGAGAGCCCCCTGGCCCTCACGGGGCTACCCTGGGAGATGACACCCTGGAGCAGGCGTAGTAATACAGCTGAAGTTAAAGGAGAAAGGCCTGTGGCTGCAATGTCAGCTTTACACACAATTCCTAAAACTGCATCTGCCATTACTCAATGACACGTGCACGGGGAGAGCCTCTTCCTGAACTATGAACAAGCTGCCACGCGGTGACGCCTTTATAAAGCTCCTGAGGTGTCGCCCCAGGCAGCCTGGCAGCCTGGTGACCCACTTCTTTCTGCCCGGCATTAACAGACGTAACGGCCCTACCTCACCACTAAAGTGCTCCAGCACAAATCTATAAAAACAGGCTACGCAGCAAGTCCATCCCCCCTGCTATATTCCCTGCAGAAGGAGCAAGAAATTCAGGCATCACAGGCAGTAACGGTCATTCAGAGTAATGCAAATTCTACCACGTGAGAGACATCAGCCACGGGAAGGCACACGATGTAGCTGGCACGACAGCACACTGCCAGCTGGGAGACAATTCTGCCAGGCTCAGTGCCCTGGTAGTCAGCCCAGAGTGTCTGCGCTGACCAACAGGGACAGAGGCCTGCAGTTTTCACAGGAGAGCAGACCGAGTCCAGAAGTCCAGGTGAAAGATGCAGAGCAGACAGTGTCTCTGTGCGCTGGCCGAGGACAGCTGTCAAGGTCTGCTGAAAACAGGGGAGGCGCATTTTCTTACACAGGGCTTGCAGTTTGTCACTGGTAACCACTGCCAAGCATTCAGTAAGAAAATGCTTTATTTGAATGGCGCTGACTTATAGCAAGGCTCCCTACATCAAGACAAAGTCTAAAACAGTGAGTCCGGTTCAGCACAGATCAGGATCTCACAGCTGGGAAGTGAGTGGCCTCCACAGCTGTCTGATGGACCACCACGCAGCAGCAGGGGCCACTGGCATCTGGCTGCAGAGAGGCGAGCGCTGGGACTGTGCACTCCGTCAGAAGCCCTGATATGTCACCACTGCATGAATGTGTCTGAAATTAATAAAATGTTCAGGTCCCTTTAAGAGAAAACGTTCCCTAACCCAGACAGGCTGTGCCCTAGTCGCTACGGGGTTCACTACTGCTGTTCCACAGCCAGCCCTTCTCAAAGACAACTCTTCAAAGTTAAATGCATAATAAGCCTCTTGAGACAACATGGGAAACGGGCCGTAACAACGCATGAAGCGTCCACAAGCTACCGGTTCTTCCAAATCCATTCTACTTTGTTGCTTCAACGCGGTAATTTTTACGATCAGATGTAACTGTGGGTGAGTGACTGAGGCCCCTGACAAAGATGACAAGCTGGCACTTGCCGTGGCCGAGAAAGGGGGATGTAGTTACTTCCCTGGCTCTTCAAGGCTCCCTGTCTGTACCAGTTCGGCCACGCCCACTGGCATCAGGCAAACGTTATAGAAGGAGCACCGGGCTGGCACACGTCCTCGTCGTATAAATCTTCAGGCAGTTCCTCTCCATCTCCATCAGGGAAGTACGTAGGGAACGGCAGGTTTTTGCAGAAATCCTTATACGCAGGCAGATTCGAATCTCTGACCTGGAAGGGAAGAAAGCAACGTTCTTCCCATAAGTGCAACCGATTCAGCCGTCTAAACGTAGCCTGCTTCACCTAATCCACTACAAGCAGCCAGAAAAATCCGTCCCTGTTTTTTCAAATGTAAATAATACAAACATTACATATAATTTCTTAAATAAAAATATCTGACATGAATTATATAACTAAGCTCTAATAACTATTTTAAACTATTCAAAATGGCCAGTTTTTATTTTGGTAACAAATTTTTGAACTTGAGGTTTAAGACATTTAACATTTTTGACAGTCTTAACTTTAAGAGCACATAATAAACTCTTTTTGCTAAGGAAACCAGTTCACTTTTAGTAAAATAGCATCCTAACTGATAAAGACAGAATACTATTTAAATACTGTAAAGATAAAACTAAGGATTGAAGCAGCCATGTTAACCCTTTGTAGTCTAAAAAAACTCCAACTGTAAAAGAACATTTTCATACAGAGATTGTCATGATGTAAAATGCCACTTTTATTTTTGGTAAACATTACGGAGTTCCTTCATTCAGATATATATGTATATATATATATATTTTTACAAATACATGTAATTATATACAGAGTAAAATAAGGTATAATCACTTTGGCAATAAGAAATGAATAATTTAGCTGAAATAAACACACAGCTGCTAGGAACAGCTAACTACAGAAAAACACATCTATTTTAGTCTCTTGTTAAAAGTTTTCCAAAAAATTATCAGTTATTTGCCCAGGAGAAAATAAATTTGTTTAATTGTGTTTTTTTCCCCCTCCATTGCACTAATATTGGGTTGATGTTAACAACAACAAAAAAAGTCATAGTCTCTCTTCCCAGGAAGACCTTCTGACCCCAAAGCCAAACCTCTGTTTCTCGTTATGAAAGACAGTGATTCAGATAGCACGTTTCCAATTCTTTTAAGGATCTATTTTCACATATTTCGAGCATATATTCCTGGAATTCCCAAGGCATGCCTCCCGCCCACCTTTAGTGCTAACCACCGCCGGCGACAACCACGAACCGAGTTGTAGGAAGCATTTACTGAGATGAGTGGCAAATCTGAGCTGTGAGTGCTCCTGGTACTAAATGATGGATGACAGCGGGACGACCATGCCACTGTATCCACAGTGACAAGACTAGTGATGTGTAAATTACCCAGATGGTGTCCCAGATGCTGAAGGAGACCTGAGCTCAAGCAACAGTGCAGGTCAGCTAGGATTAGGATGCCAGCAGTACCAGCAACAGTATAGCTATAGCCACCTTTCTTATGAATTCTCTAATTCTACCCCACATATTTTTCATTCCTTAGTTAACAGAACTCTCTAAAACCTTGAGTATTCTTCTTTGGAAGAACAGAGGCATACTGACATTTTAGTAACAGTACATACTATTTTATATTCCTAGAGCCTTCTGCTTTACTGGCCCGACTCCGTCCATCACTCCCTAGCTGTATGAACACCATGCATGCTATTCCCACTTCAGTAAAGCTAAGAGGCAGGGGAAGGCACAGCTGGGCAGTGTACGCACCTTTACCAAGCTGTTTTTATGTCCGGGCACAGAGCCATTCACGTAGATTATATTGTGCTTGGTGTTTATTCTCCACACCTATGGCATAAGGAAACAAGAGTTTAAGAGTTATAAATCAAGGAATACGCTTCCATCACATACTACGTTTTCCGTGATCTGCGGTAACTTGTACAGAGAGTACATAAATATGTAACCTGCATGAGAATGACGCCCTGGGATCTGATGACCAGTTACAGCCCTGTCTACTTCTGAACAACCGTAGGTTCTTTTTCCGTGTGTTTCTGCTTTTACAACTTTTTCCTTTCTTATATACTACGTGTTGGCATCTTTATCTAATGGACTGTTACGCCTGACTGTAAAGTAAAACAACACATGACCCGGGAGGGGCTGGTGAGGTGGTATAGTACTTTAGTCCTCTGTCTGCAGCACAAGCATTCAGAGGCACCGGTTCGTGTCCCGGCTGCTCCAGTTCCCATCCAGCGCCTTGCAGTGGCCTGGGAAAACAGTGGAGGACGGTCCAAGGCCTTGGGACCCTGCACCCGCATGGGAGACTAGAAGAAGCTCCTGGTCAGCCTGGCTCAGCTCTGGCTGTTGGGCCGTTTGGGGAGTGAACCACTGGATGGAAAAATCTCTCTGTCTCCTCTCTACGTATGTGCCTTTGTAATAAAAAAATAAATCTTTGAAAAAATGACATGGTAAAACTTAGGAGGAAAAAGAGGAAGGTGGGCGGGGAATGAGGGCAGGAGGGAAGGAAGGGTGAGAAATATTGCAAAGCTTTTAAACTTGTACCATAAAATATGTGGTAGCTGCTCACTTTATATAAAACAAAACAAACAGCACACGAGGAAGTAAGGATTTACGAAGCCTGTAGATAACAGGGATGACTTACATTTTTTAAAAAAGATTTTTTTTTTTATTGGAAAGTCAGATTTACAGAGACAAGGAGGGCCAGACAGAAAGATCTTCCATTCACTGGTTCACTTCCCAAGTGTCCACAACACCCAGTGCACAGCCAATCTGAAGGCAGAAGCTAGAAGCTTCCCATGTGGGTGCAGGGTCCCAAGGCCTTGGACCGTCCTTGATGACTTTCCCAGGTCACAAGCAGGAAACTAGATGGGAAATGGAGCAGCCGGGATATGAACCAGCACCCATATGGGATCCTGGCACATACAAGGCAAGGACTTCGGCCACTAGGCTACTGTGTCAGGCCCATGGATGGACTTACTTCGTAAGAACGCTAACAACTACATCTTGTGGGAGTGACAGAAAACTGACAATACGGTCAGAATGACCTATGCATTCCATTAGGCTGTTGGCACTACTAAGTAATAATTAAAATTTTACTTTATTTTTAGGTTAGGATTAGTCTGCAACAACAAGTTGGAAAAACCACTACTCTGCAGGAACTGAAATCTAAAATAGATGGTTTGCAAACAAACTTCATGTGAAGAACAACTGTCAAAAATGACTCATCAAGAAATGGTACTGAGAAAACAAAATCCTCAGAGGGGAAAGCAAGTTTGATTATGCTTGTGTTTAATAGCAGCTCAGTGTTAAACACCATGCAAGCTGAAATCGCACACAACCGCAGTCAGCTGGTCTGGGCATCCAAGACGGGAGAGGAACGAAGTCATTCATGACAGCTGATCAGAGTCAAGTGGAATCAGGAGCGCAGGACCAGTGGGAGAGTGCTACCTGCAGGAGGGCCTGGGCGGCTGCCGAGGGAGATGAGCAGTGAGCTTGAGTCAGCGTGGGACGGCAGGACCCAGTCCCGGGGGCCAGGGCCTTTCTCCTGCCCTTGGACATCCCAGCCCCATCTCCAGCCTCTGGACCGAGCTGCCTGGGTCTGCAGCCTTCTGTCTCGATGAGCGCGGTGCCGACACCCAGGGACCCCAGGCTGTAGCCACACCGCAGGGGGACTCCTTGGCTCTCATCACCGTGTGATCCAAGCCTCCTAGAAAACCTCCTGGCCTCCCTCTGGGGAATCCTGACTAATACAATTTAATTATGTAAATGCAAAACACGTTTGCTGGTCAAGATTCATCAATAACGCGTAGGTAGCACAGAGCCAGGAGGAACGCCCATGAGACGGATCAGCGTCTCTGGTGTCACTCTTGTCAGCGACTGATTTTTTTCTCTGCTATCTACACTTTGAAACCCAAATCCACGCACATCAAAACACTACTTGTTTCACAAAAATTTTATTATAGAAGGTCCTGAGGATACAACCCATTTTCATCTAGGTATTTCATACAATTCTCAAGTTGGTGAAAAACAAATGTATCTTCTTTCAAATACAAATATAAATCTGTATTTTAAAGAATAAAAACAGCTCTGTGCTGCAGTCTCGGCAGTGTTTGCTTCCTGGGTTCTGCATCTCCTTCACCCCGACACGTCCCTGCACCCACACATCTCAAGTATTGCACAAGACAACCTGCTGTGCAGCTTCCCTCTCTGTGAGCAGCTCACACGTGGGGAGTTTTGGTTCATTCTTTCCTAATAATGCTGTGAATCTTACTATTATTTTTTAATACAACACTATTCTGTCAAAACTCTCCAGGTCACAGAGCACAGCACTTTACGACTCCCGGGTGCTAAGTGAAGCTGCAGAGTGCTGCACTTCTCCTGTGCCACAGCCACGAGCTCCATGCATCCTTCCCCTCAAAGTAACCGGGGACCCTTTAAAGCAGCCCTGCACACACACAGGAAACACAGACCCTGGTGCTTTGGCATTTACGTGCTGGACCTGCCCCCGAGAGCTCAGAAACCGACCTTCAGTCCGTACGCTGTCCTGTCCACGTTCCCCATCTGTCCAGGCATCTTTGTTCCAGGCCAGACTCTGGCAACATCCTAGGAGAGAGCAGTTAACGCTCTTCAGTGCCCCAGTTCCACACAGCACCTGCCCCGGCACACACACTGAGAACACACACGATCAACATCGTTCGTTTCCTCCCTACGTTCTGGGCTCCTGCAGGGCTAACTCTGGAGGAGGGTCGGGGAGGAGCTAGCTAGAGTGAGATGGAGTCACGTCTAGATATCCATCCTTTACACATGAGCCTGGCAAAACAAGTACAGTCTAAGAAAAATTCATAACAAGAGGATAACAACTGCCTCAAGATCCACTGACACTAAAGAAGAGGAAGGACACGCCCCCATCACATCACCAGTGAAAGAGAACAGGGCCCTGCTAGGGCCTCATCTGTCCATGTACTAACTGGGCTCTGGGTCCTGCACACTGCTGCGGGGAGCCCCTACTTTTGATCATTCCAGGACTGGGGGTCTGCTTAGCCCTGGTTGTTTCTACATTCTTGCCAACAGAGTGACAAAAGTTAGTTTAATAACACAATCTACTACATGTGCAATGAGTACATAGAAGTAGCTCCAATCTGTATTGCTATTATTATGAGTAAAACAGAAAATACTGCATTGTACTAAGGCTGTAAAGAATAAAAACTGTCTTAAGATCTTCATTCCGCCCCTCTCAGGGATAGTGCGCCTGAATTATCAATACTAGCGTCTTTTCACCAGGATACATTTTTGTTTATTTTTCTCTATCGTTTTTCACTGCAACACAGTAGTGTTCCTGACTGTATTCTTACAGCAAAAAGCAAATATGCAAAGTCTGACCTGTCATTTATGTGACTAATTTCAAAGTGGAAAATGCAGACGGAGGACACGATGGGAAAGTGGCCAAGCCCTGGGGACACGGGTCCTGCGAAGCCCTGGGGACACGGGTCCTGCGAAGCCCTGGGGACACGGGTCCTGCGAAGCCCTGGGGACACGGGTCCTGCGAAACCCTGGGGACACAGGTCCTGAGTGTCTGGCTCTGGAGGGTGACGGGACATGCCCCACAGTGACCAGTGCAGATTCGCCTGGGCCAGACTCCAGCATAGGACGTGTGCTGCGTGCGTGCGTTGAATGTGCAGCGCCCGGGCACACGAGCAGTCGCACTTACACCAGTTGAGATTGCGCCGGGTCTCCTGTGGGTTTTGGTTTGGCCGTGAGTAGCAGGCTGTCCTTTGAAGCCCCATCTTTTCATGACGCCTTGGAAACCTTTACCAATCCTGAAGAAAACCAACACTGGAATTTACATAATGAACAGGACAGAAAACATCCCTAGTGCTTTAACAAAGCGTCCTATGTAAATCATAACTAGCGAAGGCCACAGAGCAAAGGTGTGAACCAATACTGTCCTCTCTCCCCTGACACGCACACTCACAAGTCACTGCTGTGAAACGGTAACTCGGTGCTCTAAGACAACAGGGAAATGAGCACAGGGAGCTTTAGCATCGCACCACCTTGCCACAGCAGCACAGTAAAAGTTCTGCAAGTTCCACAGTACTCAGATATCCGGGCAGCCAGCCATCAGAGCCCCAAGACTCCTGCCCCCTTGCTCTCAAGCCCCTCCCCGAGTCTGGGTGCACCTGCTGACTTGCTTCTAACGCATACAATATAGTAAATCAGAATCAGAAGTCACTTCTGGGATTTTGTTCCACGGAGGCTACTGCCTGCTGGCTCCGCAGGAGGCTGACTGCCACCTTGGAAGGGGCCTTGTGCACAGGGCTGCGATGCGCACATGGCTCGAGCTCGGCGGTGCCCGTGGAGGCCGGGACATGCCCGCAGCCCTGGCTGAGGTGTGGTCTGAGAGCTTGCGAGGTTCGGGGCAGAGGCATCCAGGTAAGCTAGTCTAGGATCTGTCGTGATGGGAACTATGAGGTCACAGAACAGGCAGCAACAGATGAGCGGTACGATGGAACCCTGAGCTCTGTGCTCAACACGGCGGCACCACTGCAGTCACCAGACATCTCCTTAAAAAAAAAATTATTTTCGATGAAGAGACAGACTGCCAGTCAGTCAGATTTCTATCTAAAGGGCCACTCCTCAAATGCCCATGACAGTCAGGGTTGGGCTAGGTCAAGCCAGGAGACAGTAACTCAATCTAGGAGGCTGCTATGGCCTAGCACGTTAAGTCAGCATCTGTGAAGCCAGCATTCGATACGGGCACTGGCTATGGCCCAGCTGCTTCACTTCGCATCCAGCTCCCTGCGAGTGGCCTGGCAAAGACAGCTGTATGCCAAATACCTCACCCAGTGTTGTTTTTACATGAAGGGTTTTTTTTTAAATCTTTCACTAGATAATGACAATATAGGTTTTTTGTTTGTTTGTTTTTAAAGATTTACTTATTTGTTTTTTTGTGGGGGCGGGGAGAGGGCAAATCAGATTTACAAAAAGAAGGAGACAAAGATCTTCCATCCATTGTGACTGCACCGGCTGGAGCTGAGCCAATCTCAAGCCAGGAGCCAGGAGCTTCTTCCAGGTCTCCCATGTACTGCAGGGTGCCAAGGTTCATGTCACTCTCTAGCACTCTCCCAGGCCACAAGCAGGGAGCTAGATGGGAAGTGGAGCCGCCAGGACACAAACTGGAGCCCACATGGGATCCTGGCACTTGTAAGGTGAGGATTTAGCCATTGAGTCATCCTCCGGGTCTGTCAGTACAGTTTTAATATGATTTATTCAATATATAAATAATTCCCTAATCTGAATAAAGGCAGCCATTATTAAGTAAAAAGTGAATTGCCCAGACCACGTACAAAGAGGAAAAAACCCAAGAATACGAAACGAGGAATTTCTCACAAGGAATTCTCCGTACATTTAACAGAACATTACCAGGGAGCAATGGGCTGTAAAAGCCTGCATAAACAATACAAGTTTCAGATCAGCAAAGGGTGCAATGTAAACATTATTATAAATTATGTGTGAATCTAAAAGGGAAGTATTATCAAATTACAAATCAGGGTAAAAAATTATTTGTATATAAGTGATTTAAATGTAGTTTATAACACTTTCTTTACATTAATCAATTAAACAGCACTTTTGGCTTATATAATTCTGTTTCTGCCTTGTGAACTCAAAACACTGTTTATTCCTAATCAAGATTTAAAAATGGCATTTAATACATAATAAATGAAATGCCTCTCTATATAAAATTCTAAAAAGAAATTAAAGAAATTGATAATCAAATAGTTAACTAAAATTATGCTTCAGCAATTTAACAATTTGGAAAACCAAATGCTTCACAAATGAGGCTGGTGTTGTGGCTAATAGCTTGAGTGCCCACTGCTCCACTTCGGGTCCAGCTCCCTGCCAATGCACCTGGGAGACCAGAGGCAGAGGTCCCCAGGCCTGGGGAGGGGCACTCAGAAGCAGATCTGTACCTCTGCTTTTGGCCTGGCACACTCTGCCTGCTGTGCCCATTCAGGAGTGAACCAGTCCATGCAGGATTTCTCTCTCCCCCTCCCTCACTGTAACTCTGTCTTTCAAATAAACATTTTTTTTAAAGTTTGACAATTTACAAAAAACAAACAAACAAAACTCTAGAGTCATATGACTTCTACAATATGGTTTATACACACACAGAAAAGAGGGGTTGGGGTAGGGAAGGTGCTTGGTCTGGTGCTGTAGACAGGTGCACACCACACTGGAAGGCCTGTGTTAATCCCCAGCCTGCTCTGGGGTTAGTTTCCTGCTAATGGGAGCTCTGAGAGGCAACAAGAATGACCAACACTGCCGGTCTCTGCAGCCTATGTGGGAAAACACAGACTCCAGGCCCTATCATTCGCTCTAGCTAGAGTCTCGTCTAGGCATTGCAGGCAGCAGAGAACGAACCAACTGTGGCTCCCTACCGCCTCCTCCTCTCAGATAAACCAATTTTTAAATTTTAATTAGGTCTCCTTCATTTGAAAGAAGAAAAATTAATAAACAAGCAGAGGGAGCCCCTAAAGTGACATGCTTCTAAAATGCCAGCTTCAAACCTGGGTACTCTTGGTACAAAGTTTGCTAATAACTCCTTCCGAGTTCTCAAATGGAGTTTTCTCTTACTTGAAAAGATAGTGCAAGCACCAACAGAACACATGCCAGGTAAATTACAGAAGATAATTTAGCTTATTTTAGGAATAAATGATTATAAGATGAAAGTGCTAATTATCTGTTGGCTAATTACAGATGATTTTTTCAACCTAGCTCTAGCATACATCGTGTAGTTACACTCTATACCACGGGAACCTCTTCAATAAATAACCTTTAAGCGAAAGGATAAAACACAAATGACACGATGAATTACTGTCTTCACTGAGCCCGTGGAGAGGGCACACCTGTTCCCGGTGGCTCAGGTCCCTGCTATGGGTCCCCTCACTGCCACCCAACCGAAGAACACCGGGGAAATGCACCCATCCAGACTCAGCACACGGAAGCACATTTCAAACACTCCACATTCACATAACGTAACTAAACATGATACAGAACACAAACCTTTACCGACTTCAGGCACTGCGTGCTGCGCACCCTAAACTCTCCACCTTCAGACCCGTGCCATGGGAGCAGACGGGGTCCGCTCCTTCCGTCCTGCAGTTACCAGATGCCACACGGCGGGCATCTCTCTGTGCTATGGCTTGCTCTGACCACTTGATTTTGTAAATAAAGCTTTATTAGAATACAGCCATGTATATTCATTTACATACTGCAATGTTGTTTCAGAAATACCGAGCAGAGTAAGAACACACTCAGGAACCCTAACATGCACCACCTGCTCTCTGGGAACGTCTGTTGACTGCTGAAGCTATGACTACGCAGCTGGAGCTCCGCATTTGGCCTTCTAGAAGGAATCCTGACGCCTTCCCAGGCTGCAGATGTATCCACCACATCCGCAGGAAGTGCCTCGGCCACACACTGAGAAACAAGACCCGAGGTCTTTCTCTCCTTCTTAGCCACCAGATGGAAAGTCCTAACATGATCATCTCATCCACCTACCCCTGCTTTAAAAAAAGGGAGAAAAATACAGCAACATCAAAAACAATGAAACAGCAAACTAAACTATAACCCTAGGTAGTTCTTCAGTAAGCATCTCAGTGCACGGTATGAAAGGTGCTTAGAAATGGGTGGAATTTTCCTTTCCAAACCTGCCCATTCCCAGTCCCGGTCCCAGCGCATTGCTCCAGGATTTCTGTGAGCTAATCTTCATGCCTCTGTCTGCCTGCACCCTTCGCCCGAAAGCCCTTCTTACCGCACTGTCTTTGTAAAAGTGACAGGTGTCTAACGCAACATCACAAGAACTTCTTACAGCACACAACTTGATCATGACGACACGGTGTTTTAGATTCAACTGATCAAATGCTTTCAGTTTTAAAATTATAAAAAATTTCAACAGCCAAGAAGCGACAAGTTTTGAAGAAATCACACGAATGCAGGAGACTTCCTAGCTAGCTCACAACCTCCCCGATGGGCTTTCCACTCGTGAAGAACTAATACAACACACACATTTTTACTCTTTCATGATAACTTCTCATTTCAATAATCACTGATTTTACCACTCACTTTCATCTCCACGCACTCCAGAGGCAGAACATCCCACTAAAGACAGTTTAAGTCGTAATAATAACAACAAAGCACACGCAGCACGTTGAAGCATTCCACATCAGAATCATGAATGAGACAGGAGGAGACAAAAGGCAAACGTGCCGGGAGGACCTACGTTTTGGCTGTGACGTCCACGTACTGTCCTGGGCGGAAGTGAGCAGCATACAGGGGCGTGCCTTGTGAAGAGAAGAGGCAGTCAGGGGACCATGCACAGAGCTGCCCTCAGACAGCCGCCCCCACCCAGGAGCCTCTGCGCAAGCGCTCTCAGACACAGGGACTCTCTCTGCGGTTCCAAGCATTGAAAGAACCAATGGCATGACTCAACAAGCTTGTCCTTAACTGGCATGTGATGCTGGACTGGACCGGGCACCCAGACCCCCGCCGTGGCCATGTTCCTCCAAGGAGGCCCAGCCATGCTAACAGAGACCAAGACAGCCTAGTCCTGCAGGGATTACACAGGCCTGATGATTCGTGGCTGTTTCAGTGAATGATAACACACTGAATTAAGATGTACTTCCTATTTTACATAAGAAAAACAACAACAACAGAATAACCAAACCACGTTGCGGCTCAATTAGGAAGCGTATCACTTGAACTCGGGTACCAGAAGACTATGGTGGAATAGGACACCTGTATGAAGCCCTGTTACGGTTCAGACTAATGTGGAACTTGTCATCACACCAACAAAATCCAGTTCTCCTGGAATGTACCCAGATCCTGAAGACAGCACAAAAACCTACTACTATGATATACTTAATTATATATAGAAACACAAAGCTTGTATTCAAATTAAATCTTACTTTAAATGTACTTGAGAATGTCACTTAAAGTTAACACTGGGGTCAGCATCCTGGCATAGTAGGTTAAACCTCTGCTTGCAGTGCCAGCATCCCATATGGGCACCTGTTCAAGTCATCGCTGCTCCATTTCTGATCCAGCCTCATACTTGTGGCCTGGGAAGGCAGTAGAGGATGGTCCAAGTCCTTCGGCCCCTGCACCCATGGGAGACACGGAAGAAATTCCTGGCTTCTGTTGGCCACTTGGGAAGTGAACCAGCAGATGAAAGATCTTTCTTTTTGTGTCTCTCCTTTTCTAACTCAGCCTTTCAAATTAAAAAAAAGTTAAAATTATTTTTCTTCCATATAAATTTGATACTAGCATATGTGAAAACTATTCGGTTTGACAATTAACATTTATAAAGTACTTACAAATACGTATGGATAGAAGTGCGTAACCATGAATCATGGTCTCTGATCTTAAGAAACTTACTATTGAACTGAAGAACCACATTAACTTCATCAAGAGGGAGATTTTTTTTCTAAAGCAAGGACTCGCTGCAGCAGAGTATGCAGTTCAGAGCTGCTTCTAGTTAACGTATTCAGTACAGACAGCCAGGTGCAGTGGGACTTCAGGGGCAGTCTCCCCCAGACCCGGACGGGCACGCTGTTTGCACCTCGCCTGTGCGCCTCAACACGCAACACTGCAATTGTAAGCGCATACAGCTGTGATCTGCCAACCAAAATATTACCACGAAGCTAGAGTGGAGACTGTAAAATACCTCGTTTCTCTGAAATTGAATGGCTTAAACCGCTGAGCCCTGACCATTTCTGACCACTAAACAACGATTCTATGTGTTGAGCTAGAACAAAAGTCAGTATCAAAAACCTTATTATTTCAGATTTACAAATGTGTTCATGGGTTAAAACCAAAATATTTTAAAACAAACTCTGTGAATTCAAAATAGAACATACACATTATAAACCATTCTAAAACACAGTGCCCTAAGCACTTGGCCTAATTTTTATACTATTCCATTGACGTCACTTTCAAGATTCAAAACCTCAAAGTATTGACTGTCCGCTTGCTAGAACTCACACTCAAGAACCAGAGGGCTTTTCTGAAATTCAGAAACATCCAAATGTTATTGTTTTGTGATCGGAACCAATATGAACAATAATCAGATAAAATCTTTAGAATATTGAAGCAAGAATTTTGACACTGGGGTGCTACTTTAGCCAGTATTTCTCAAGTTCCTGTGAAAGTTAGTTGGCTTTCCCTTACTGCAAAACAGGCAATCTCAAATTTTCAAGTCAGCACATTTATCCAGAATGGCTTTTTCAAATGTGAAACTCTCTCTACATTGAAAACAAAAGCTTTCCTCCCTCTGTTATGGAAAACAAAGAGTTTCCCACGGTTTTTCCACTGAGAAAAAGACAGTCCTATTTGTTCCTAGTGATTAAATCAGATGCAGTTTTATATTTAACCGTGTTTGGGAGTTTGTATTGTGCATTCATCGTTATTGAAAGGGCTGACATTAAACACACTTCAGAGCCGGGTATTTCATTCCCTCCGCTCCCGACCTCAGGTTACCTGGCTTGATTACAGCATTATCTGTGACATGGAAGATTTTGACTTTCTGCTTTGGTGGCAAGCCAAGTTCTCGGTAAAACTCCAATATTGAGGCAGGTTTCTAGGAGAAAAACAGCACATGTAAGTGACACATTACACAGGAAAGCAGAGGCTGAATGCCCAGAGATCCAGACCAAGTTACGGAGAGCTCAGAGAACAAACCAAAGCCCACTCCACTCCTCTGCAGAAGAGCAAGCTTTGCTTTCCTTTGACTGCGGGGAGGTGAGGATTTTTTGGTCCACTCCACCTGTGTGAACAACCTGACTGCTCAGGCTCCGTTCCTTACAGCACCGCGAGCATATCCGCCCTATCAGAGGGGAGACACAGTGCAGTGGAGGACCTGTGCCCCACGCACATGCGAACAGCAACACTAAGCACAGGAAAGCAACTCGGTCTATTCTGAGAAGGCAAGACAGAGAGGAAGACCGTCCGTGCTCTGGTTCACCCCCAAGTGGCCACGCCGGCTGGAGCTGAGCCAGTCCAAAGTCAGGAACAACTTCTGGGTCTTCTGCACGAGTGCAGGGTCCCAAGGCATCAGGCCAGCGTCTGCTTCTTTCCCAGGCCACAGGCAGGGAGCTGTGTGGAAAGAGGAGCAGCCAGGACATGAACCAGCACTCATGGTGCCCATATGGGATCCCGGAGTTTGAAAGGGGAGCATTAACCAGTTGAGCCATTGCACCGGGATCTGGAGCACCCTTTTCTTATCCATAATTCCCTGCCTGTTCTAGCCATAAAGGAAGCACCTGCAGAGCCAAGGGGCTGAGGTGCTCTATATGGCTGCATACCCGTGTCAGCTCATACAACCCATACTGCCCTCTTGGTCTATAATTCAGCCCCACACTGCTCCTCCAAAGCTTATTAAAATATCAAAGTTCTAGTTATATCTCCTGACCATCCTTGCCGGGCACACTGCTCCTCTGTCTATACTGTCCCTTTTCTCTGCCTGCAGGAAACTTCAGCTAGCTGTCAATTTCCATTTAAAATGTACACCGTCAGAACTCCTTACGATTTCTCTAACAAGAAGTCTTTCAATGACCTGAAATCGGGTGGCACTGGCATGTGAGCAGAGGATGCTCGCCTCTGGCTCAGGCCGTCAGCCACAGAACCTCCCTGAGCAGCAATGCTGCAGCGCTCATGCTTCCCGGGGGCGGCTGGTCCCTCCCAGTCTCCCAGGAGTCCCGTTCCCTCTGCAGGGCTGCACCCCAAACTCCAGTCAGCCTCTCTGGCTGCCAGCTGCACGCGCCGAGCTCAGCATGCCCTGGCCAGGACACCTTTTTTCATCACCTCACTCTCCTTTCCTCCCAAGACAAACACAAACGTTTCTACTACAAGGTGTGGCCCTTAAAATTATTTTCCTGACATATCACATTCAGATTTATCAAATTTTAGAAGAATTTCAAATTTAATTTTGACTTGCACGTATTCCATTTGGTGATTTAAGAAGCACATTATTTCATTACCATTAGTTTTTAAGTATACTAGGAAGTTCCTAAGAAAAATGACTTACAGTTTTAGCGCTATAAAACAGACAAGAAAATCCTAACCGCAGTTACTTTAGACTAAAACAGAGAAAATCAAGGTACTACATGTACTTACATTCTTTCAGGTTTACTAAACTTGAACATTTTAGCTTTTTTTTCTATTTAAAGTCAACATGTTATAAAATTAATAAGCTCTCAGACATGATAAAAGCAAAACGTTTAAGTTAGGATTCTACCAGGAGCAGTGTAACTGGTTATTTTTTCCCCCTTTCCTTCTTAAACTTCCAAATAAATGATTTCAAGAAGCAATTTCCAATACTGACAGCACTGTCACACTCGGCTAACCCCTGGCTGAGGCTGCGTGTCCCCCTCCAAGCTCTCTGGAATCACCCTTCCCACAACGAAAACGCTGCTCTGCTCCAAGGTGAGCTGACTTCATCAACTTGCTTACTCTAAAACACATCAGCTTTTACTTAAAATAGCAAAGCCAAAGTAGTCTCATTTCTTGGAGACAAATTCTTTCACAGATTAAAAAGAAATCACAATTCTAGGGCTCCTTAGGAGGACTTAGCCGATGACGTAAGTGCTCAACTATCTGACAGTCGGTACTGACGGGCCTCACTGAGGAAGCGGGCCTGTGACTCATCCACCCGCGGCCCCCTGCGCTCCTACACGCCTTAGCCTTTCAAACACAACTATGCTTCTTATAGACAAGTGAGCAAATGCTGACGTGAAGAGGGTCAAACTCCACAGTTCATGAAAACTGGCCAGGCGACTGCAGTGCGCCGCATGTTCACCAAAGGCAATCAAATACAACATGCTCAGGCCAGGGCTGTGGCACAGTGGGTCAAACAGCTACCTGTCATGCTAGCATGCCATGTGGTGTACACCTGAAGTCCCAGCTGCTCCACTTCCCATCCAGCTCTCTGCTAAAGCACGTGGGAAGGCAGCAGCGATGGCCCAGGTGCCTGGGTCCCTGTATCCAGGAAGGAGACCTAGAAGAAGCTCCTGGCTCCTGGGTTTGGTCTGGCCCAGCCTCAAATGTGGCAAAGTCACTTGGGGAATGAACTAGCAGATGGAGACCTCTCTCTGTCTCTCCCTCTTTAATTCTTTCCAAAAAAAAAAATTATCTTTTTAAAAATGTTTTTAAAAAAAAGAATACACTGAAAAGAAAAATGTGTGGACCACAGTCTTGGGAAAAGTACAGTTTTAACTATTGTAACTTGGTTGGCTACTCTAACACTGTTAGTGTGCTTGCAAAGTTTTACACATAACAAATTTCATCACTAAGTAAAACAGAATAACAAACCGCACTTTGAAGCACTCTGTTCCAATTTTTGGTTTTTCTTGAAAATTAAAATATTCAGAGAACCAACGTCAAACTTTCAGAACTGGGAGAGAATTACGGATAAGAAAAGGATGTTCTAGATCGTGGTGCAATGGCTCGTGTCCTGGCTGCTCCTCTTTCCACACAGCTCCCTGCCTGTGGCCTGGGAAAGAAGCAGACGCTGGCCTGATGCCTTGGGACCCTGCACTCGTGCAGAAGACCCAGAAGTTGTTCCTGACTCTGGACTGGCTCAGCTCCAGCCGGCGTGGCCACTTGGGGGTGAACCAGAGCACGGAAGATGCTTCTCTCCTCTCTGTAACTCTGCCTTCCCAATTAAAATAAATGTCTTTAAAAGGAAGCACTGTTCACAGATCCACTGGAGCAGAATAAACTATCCAATAAAATGCCTGATTTACAAATACAAAGGCATAAAGTCATGGATTTTAAAAACTGGCAATAAAAATTAAAATGACAAAACTAGTCATTAAAAAACAAAGTCTAATCAGATTAGAAAACAGCAGCATTTGTCAAACTAAAGAGTCACATGGAGGCTGGTACACAGACTCATTTTTAAAGTTCAATTATTTAACAGCTATTTAAAAGTTTTCACAATTATGTCACTGTGCTTTTAATTGCTGTGGAATTACTTGAAACCTCATTTGTTAGTCAATAAACTGTCAAGAATTGGCACCAAGACAGATGTTGCTACAGAGCTTTAATAGAAAACAAACGGACCATGGCACCATCATTACGGAAAAACAGCCTCTAATCTGTGTGCCGCAGGGCCGGGCATCAGGCTTCAAGCTCCCAGCTACCACCTAGGGACCAGCCACAGCTCTCAACTGCGTAGAGGCCAGCCAGCCTGGGTCTCCTCTGGAACCCGCACGCACAGCTCTCCTTGCAGACCCCTCTCCTTGTAGCTTTTCATCTGACAGGCTCAGCATCGACCCAGCGTGTGCAGAAATCACTCCATCCTGTGTTCTTTCACCACCACGCGTGCACACATACACATACATACACACACACACACACACACACACACACACACACACACACAATGAGGTTTTCTTCAACCCTCCCCTAGCCGCCTAAAAACAACCTCTGAAAGTACTCCTTCTACCAGATTCTTCAATTTTAGTTCACCAAGAAACCAATCTGGTCCCATTACTGTCCTGGTCAAAGAACCGAGAACTCTGAAGTCTCAGCACCTCCCCATTCTACATGACTGCCCGGTCCCCGCACTGCTCTCCCTGCAGCCTGTCCCACAGCGCAAGGTGCAGCCACATTCCGCTGCCATGCCTCCAGCACGCCCGACCTAGCAGGTCTCATCTCCGGCCTCCCCCGGTTGTCAGCCCGCTGGATTCCTAACACTGCAGCACATGGCTGACTCCCCAGTACACTTCCCCGCCAGACTACGTTCATGAGGGGTGCATATCAAGACAGTTTCAAAGGTAAGGCTGTGGGGACTGTCACTCTGCTCTGCCCAGTGGGTGGCCCTGGGCAAGTTTATGCTTCAGTCTCAGAGCATGAAAAGGTCATACAGGGAATGTAAGCACAGGTTTAGATGCCTAGTAGCTAGTGAGTGATCACTAACAGTTAACCAGGACAAGGAAATGAATCTATGGCTAGACACCAAACACAGGTTAATTTTGACAGATGGAGTGGGAGTTGTATTCTGTGTGTTAATTTCATAAAAAATTTACAAGTTGATCTAGTAAGCCTAAAGATGATCATTATTCATTATCATCACCATTTCTAGCAAGGTTTTCCCTGGTTTTAGTCATTCAATAGAAGATATTGCTCAAATTTAAAAAACCAACTCAATATTCCATTAGCATTCCCCTTAGGAAAAACAATTAAAACTGGCGTGGACGGTGTCCCTGGGACTGAGAGCTTCTAACACACAGACTCAGTCTGCATATGCTCTTGGTGTCAAGTGTCGGGACAACTTTCCACAGAGAAATGGAAACAAACACAAACGACAGAATTACTACTGAGAACCTGCCGTGTTCCAGGCCAACTGAATAAACGCATCTCTCCCTGTGACAAACCTATTAGACACAGATGCACAAACGCTACAGCCTCAGGAGGTCCAGGGGCTCACTCCAGCTAGGGAGGTCCACTCCAGCTGGGGAGGACTGGACCCCACACAAGTGTCTCCCACTCCTACATAAGCAGCCCTGCTGGACTGCCTCCCCCAGCAGCTCCCTCATGGACAGACATGGCTTGATGGCTAAGCCACATTCTCAGCACACAGAGGCACGGAGAGCTGAAAGCAACGGAATGCGCCATTCCAGAAACGGAAGTACAGCCTTACCCGGAAGCGAGACACAGTTTTTCCTCCTACAGTCAGGGCTGCCATTCTTCCATTATGGTTTTCCTTTGAAGTGTATTTTAGGACATGACAGTCCTGTACCTAAAAAACAAAACAAAACAAAACACACACACTAAAATGAGCTCATGTCCAGGTAGGCTTTAACATTACACAGCAGGCACACGGGGGCCCTGGCACAATCAGGAACTCTACAATCCCTTATCAACTGCCTCACACCACGAAGGAAACTATGCAACATAAATGCACAACACGCTGGGTGTTTACAAACACAGCGCACCTGCAGCTGAATTCTCAGGCCCTGCCTTCTCGCCTGAGCGCATGGCTTCTCAGAGCACCCAGATAAGCAACAGCAGCACCCCAAAAACCTGAGATTTTTAAATTATGAATCAAGCTGGTAGAGCTATGAGAAGTCAGGTTATACGTTTTCCACTACCCCAATTATGCCAACACTGGCGCCAGCAGGCTACTGCCCACACGAGAGTCAGAACATTACTGATTCCAGCAGAAGTTAACATTTTCAATGTCCAACCTAATCCTTTTGTTGACCATAACTGTTTCCAGGACACAGATACTGTCCGTGGAAGCCTGCACACGCATGCTGGCACGCACACAGAGCACCCGACGTCCTTGTTTCTTTCTCACCTGGAGAAGCGTCGCCACATGCCTGCGACCATCCTTGGTCCATAAGGGCATCATGCCCAGCTTCAGCGCGATCAGGCCGACCCTGGAAGAACCTGGCAATCAAAGCAAAGCAGCATTCACCACCTGTGTGCACCTGCTGACACGACAGCCATCTTCCCAGGACAGCCCCCCGCCGCTAAGCTATCGGCAGGAAAAGAAACTTGTCTCCCACAGATCCAAGTGCCATCAGTCACACCTGGCATAACACACAGGTGGTTAGTAAGTCTCTGTGAAACCATCAAATACAAGGGCACTACACAAAATACACTGTGCTGTGGTTTTAAAATACTGGTAAAGATAAATTCATTGCTGCGTTTTCTTAGTTTCAGTTTACATCAACCGCACTAATCAGGAAGCAGCTGCCGCTCACAGTCTTAACAGGTGAGCCACAAGTAGCCATGGTGCTCCATGCGAGTGTCAGTTCCCCACAGGATGTTGGGCTTTGCTGCAGACACTGGCCAAGCCATTCCCCTGGGATGGGCTGTTGGCTGCTACACGGAGGCCACACATTCAAGAGGAAAGACTTTGTTCCTTCTGGTCTGGCCACAGGCGGATTTCATGTATTTTTTTTTTAAGATTTATTACTATTATTATGTTACCAGAAATGAGATATACAGAGTGAAGCAGACAGAGGCCTTCCATCTGCTGGTTTACTCCCCAAGTGGCCACAATGGCTAGAGCTAAGCTGATCTAAAGCCAGGAGCCTGGAGCTTCTTTCCGGGTCTCGCACATGAGTACAGGGTCCCAAGACTTTGGGCTGTTCTTGACTGCTTTCCCAGGCCACAAGCAGGGAGCTGGATGGGAAGTAGAGAATTCCAGACATGAACTGGTGCCCATATGGGATCCAAGTTGATGCAAGGCGAGGATTTAGCTACTAGTTTACTGCACCAGGCCCTGGATCTCACGTCTTAACAGGCACAGCCAATTTCAAGGATCTGCCTAGCCAGTGTAAAACTCTACAGAATCCCAAATGACACATCCGCACAGCACACTACAATTCTGCCAGACTCTTCCATCCTCTCTCCCCTGATGGAAAACGAATTCAACTGTAGGAAACAATGAATGTGGAATGGCTCTCCTTGCTTCTACAAAACACCACCCCGAGGTCTTTAGGATCAATATTTATTAAACAGTCGGAGAGGCTGAAAAATAAACTTACAAACCAATCCTCTCTGCTCCCCACAAACACCGTGAGGACATGAAAAACAAATTCAGGAGATAAACCTCTCAGTCCTGATCTTCCACGACCAACCTCAGTGTAACCAGAGAATTCATGCAATGCCACCCACCCACCTGGTTCCCAAGGATGCAGAGGCCAGGGCTCGTCTTTGAGGGGACACAGTTTACTGGCCAGCTGGGCTTTATCTTCATCAGACACGAACTGCTTAACGAATGGGACGTTTTCTTCTGAAAGATGTTCGTCCCACCACGTGCCACTCTTGCCATGGAGACTACGAACAAAACTCCACACATGTGTTCTGTGCAAAAGAAAAAAGAAAGAGAAATCAACTACAGCTCAAAGGGTTCCTGGGCCCACAGTAGGGAAAGAAGGTCTGGGGACCAGAAAGCAAGCCAGGACCTTAGCAAGCTGGAATATGTACAATTTTTTTCCCTGATATTTCTTACACTAATAATTGGGTTCCTGTTTTAACAATGAATGACGCGTCACACTGGACGAAGAGGTTTTCATCTTCTCCACTGGGACAGACAGATTTCTCACACCCAAGTGGCTGGGGGGACTGAAGCCTCAATTTTCTCCCTCAAGCACTGGGCAGTAGTAGTTTGCACATGTGACGCTCTAGGAGCTGCAGCGTCTAACACGGAGAGCGGAGCTTTCCGTTAGAGTTCCTAAGAAAAAAAAATTCTGCCTCTTGTGAATACATGAGGCATCAATTTTCCCACACCATTTCAAAGGCTCTCCCAGCACACCCTCGTTAGTTAGCATGCTCTTGGTTCTTGCATTCCTGAGCACAGCTTTCCTTCCTGCACTCAGGACTCGTGTCCCGTGCCCCACTGCCCGCTTCTCACCCCCCACGCACCTGCTCCCCTCCTGCGGGGCTTCAGCCATGACCCGCGACCCTGCACCCCACTGCCCGCCTCTCACCCCCCACGCAGCTGCTCCCCACCTGCCCAGGACCCGCGACCCTGCACCCCACTGCCCGCCTCTCACCCCCCACGCAGCTGCTCCACACCTGCCCAGGACCCGCGTCCCTGCACCCCACTGCCCGCCTCTCACCCCCACGCACCTGCTCCCCTCCCGCGGGGCCACAGCCAGACTGCCTGCCCGCGCCAGCAGCCGCCCAGCCCGCATGGCGCGGCCCCGGCTCCGAGCGCCTCGCGGCTGTCCCCTCGGGGTGAGCCCACAGCACGCGCCCGCGTCCGCCTCGGTGCCACCCGCACGGCCGCCCTGTCCGTCCTCCGCCGGCCTCCAGCACCGGAAGAAAGAGGTCCGGCGACGCACTTCCGGTCCCGTTAGCAACGCGTTCCGGGCAGGGTGATAAGCACCCAGCATTCGAGTTCCGCCTCTAAGAAGGGTCCCTCTTGGGGTCCCAGGTGGGCGAGGAGGGGAGACGGGCTCACCTCTCCAGGGGTGAGCAGTGCGAGTGCTGAAGACTGAGGCGACCGCGAGACAGGATTCCAGAAGCTAGGAAAGGGAAAATAATGCTTTTTAACTAGTGCCCGCGGTGTGGCAGCTCAAAGTGCAAGGCAATCCTTGATACCATGGTCGTGATCAATCCTCAAACTTTTTCTGAAAGGAGATTGTTTTTATGTTGTAGATGAGGGAATGTGCCTTCATGGGAGGAACATGTCTTACGCTATAAGCCAGTGGAAACAATGCTACTACTGCCAAAGCCTAGCACTTGCTGTGTTTGCTATAGCAGTTGTACTCAGTGCTGTGGGAACCCATGAGCCCGAGAACACAGTGGAACACCTGAAAAGAGGCTTCAGCCTGGCTCCCCTGGCCACTAGGCTCTGTGGGAAGACTCTCTTTGTATGTATAGATAGATGCACATATGTACTATATATATATATTTATTACTGGGTTACTGTAACTCACCCTTTCAATTAAAAAAAAACAAGAATGGTTTTTAACGAAATCTTTATATTGGAGACAGGAAAATCAAAGTAAGGTTAGGAATAAAATTCATTTTAAAACAGAGCAAGTAAGAAACAATAGTCGCTTGGCAGCAATGGTGTGTGTTTCAGTATGATCTGTTAGAAATACTGTTTGATATTATAAATGTAGCATTTTATTGAAAATGTCATTCTCACTCCCTTAGTCTGTTTTTTTTTTTTCACGTAATCTTTTGTAACAGCCCCATAATGATCGCTTGTATACTCAGAAACTAGCATAGAGATGATATAACTTCAATGAGGTTGATCAGCTGGCACATGCTGGGCCAAGAGTTAGATCTTGGTGGTGTGACCACAGACCCCCTGCTTTCAGACACTTTGCTTCTTTGGTTCTCTACGTAAATCTGAAAGTATTTCCAGAAAAATTTCACAGAAAGCAGAATTAAAAGATACATTTATTTTGGTACAAAACTTCTGAAATCCATGGAAATTCAGGATCTTCAGAAAGTTCATAGAAAATGGAATTTATAAAAATTCTGAATGGATTTCAAAATTTTTACACCAAAGTAAATTTGTCTTTGCCTTTCCCACAAGGTTCGTGAATTGCCTTCATCTGTTACCACTCTTGGAACTAGAGAGGAAATTGTTAAGGAAACATGTAACATGCCTGTGCCATGGGCAGGTTTGGTAGTGGGACTGTGTTCACTCCTGAATCTAAATAAGCTTGTGCCTAATATGAAGCTATGCCATGGGACTTCTAAGACCAGATCACAAAAGGTAATATCATTTCCATTCTATTTACAAAGCTCTTTCTCTACTTCTGGGCAGCCATACTCTCCCATCAAGGAATAATGACGATGTTCCCTCCTCTCTGGTCATGGCCAAGTACTTTGCACACACAGCTCTACTTTGGCACTGACCTTGTGTCTGTCCTGCCTCCTTTGTCCTTTGTCTACACTGAGAATTCGTCAAAGACCGAGGTCTTCTGTCTCAACACGTTAGAGTCAAAGCAAAACAGCTGAGGGATGGCAGGTTTCTAAGTCAGGCTGGTTTAGAATTGGGCTATGTGTTAGCTAATGGTGGAATTGACTCTCTGGGTTATAGGCAATCACTATGAAATAATGAGTATGCCTATGATTGCTTTCAGGAGCAGGATTAGTAATGTTTATGCTGTGCCTGGCACACAAAACATCCAATAGAGAATAGATATTAACATTATCACTTCATTATGTCTCATATTTAATACAGCGTGGCTTAAATTCACTTGAGTATCCAACCAATATCTGTTGAAAGGTGACTCTATGGTGAAGTCATCTCTTGGGAGACAGGCACCTCATTTTGGAGTTGACTTTGCGTCCTGGTTCTGCTTCAAATCTACCTTCATGATCCTGTATATCCCAAGAGGCAGCAGATACTAGCTTAAGTGTTTGGGTCTCTGCCCAGCCAATGGAAGATCTGCCTCAGTCTCCTAAATTTGTCCTGTCCTGGCTTAGGCAGTTAGCAGACATTTGGAAAGTGAACAAGTAGATGAAAAATCTCTCTCACCACGGGGAATTGGAGTGCCTTTGGAGGCTGAGAACTCTGAGGTCATCCACCCCCATTTGGATCTACCACGCGAGATGGAAGAAGCCCAAATCCTTCCTTGCAGGATCCAAGGTCATCGGAACAACAGCCAGGAACCCTAAGCGGTCCACAGAAACAGAACAGTAAACTTCCTTCTAGACTAGGGAGAGGAGCTTTCTCTGGTCCTTACTTAGTTCCAACTTTAGTTCCCCACCCTGTCTTGCAAAGGCAATCAGGGTCGCTCCAGAGTGCTTCTCCCAAACACACACACACACACACACACACACAAATATTAATTCCATAATGTTGTAAATTGTCGTTGATGTTATGTTATGGCTTTTAATTGATCGGGATGATATTCAGCCAGCTCTGCCTTCAGACCAGAGATGGTCTCCCCAAGAAACCGTTCAATTTAACTGGACAATAAGATGCTAGACCCTATGCTCGGTATATGCTTGCAATGAAAGAACCTTGACTGAGTCTGAATTGTAATACAGCAACATACTTGAGGAATCCACCATGAGGGGAGGGGATGGGGAGGGGTTGGGGGAATCCCAGAGCCTATGAAACTGTGTCACATAATACAATGTAATTAATAATAATAATATGTATATATATGAAGAAAAATCTCTTTCTCTCTCTCCTTTCCAATAAAAAATAAGCAAATAAATTTTTTTTAAAAGGTAGACCCTTAAAATATTTTAATTTAATTTTAATATTGTTTACATAGTTGTATACCCATGTAGGTTTCTGATTTAGGTGGGGAGGGTCTAGGTATGGAGGAAGGTGGGTAGAACAAATATTTCAATTTTTTTCTCCTAGGCCACTGAGGTGGGGGGAGGAGGAAGTGTCTAGGGGGATGGGAAGGCAGTGGAACTCTGTTCAGACGTCCCATGGTGCTCCTGGGTCCTCTGCTGTGGCATTTAGACTGCAGCCTGGCCTGTCAGGATCGTCATGGCAACTCAGCTCCCTGCTGAGCCAAGACAGGATTCCCTTAGTAACGGAGAGCCTGGGAGATAATGCTTAAAATAATCTTTTATGCCCAGGCCAAAATGCCTTAGCAGGTTGATTAACAACGAAATATCATGGGACATGACTTTCACTTTTGTTTCCATTCAAAATGGAACAAAATGGCTTTTTAAAATGGGAATTTCCAACCCAGGATGAAATCCCCTCCCCACGCACACCTCCTGGTGAAGCCAATGAGTGCCACACCTGCGGTGCCGAGAGGCGAGGCTGCTGGTCTCTGTCACCTAAATTGCCTTCAAATAGACAAGACAATCACTGACTGAAATCACTGGGCTTCATCTAATCTTTTTTCTATTTCCTGTTGAAGTCCTAGCAGCCTCTCAGCAGGGAAAATAGTTACGCTCGGCACGGGTTTAACACTGGGACATTTAGCCTGCTGGTCCCTGGCATCTAATGGCTCTCCTTGCTCATGCTTCCCATCCAATCTCCCCCTGTGTGCAGGGCCTGTCTTCTGCAGGAGGTCTCTCTTACCCCGGTGGTAGCCCTGCCTGTTATGCAGGGCAAGCAGAGGTCTTGATTTCATAATTTAACAGCTAAAGCAATTGTTTTTAAGAAATGGGCAGGTCTGGGTTCAGATTCTGGTTTTGGCAGTTTGCTGTTTTGTGGGCCATGACTTCCCTTCCATGCACTTCTTTGTCGTAGAGTATAATTAAAAGTACTTTCTTCTCAAGGCCAGAGATTGCAGTAATTGGAATAATGCGCATGAAGCCCTTCACACATTACTTGACACACAGTAAAATTTGTAAAATGCTGAGTATAACTTATTATCAACAACATTTCTAGTCACCTTTTGTTACCTAGTCCAACATTTAGGAAGAACTCAGGCTATTCTTTTTCTAGCTTTCTCAACAGTACTTAGGCACGAATAATTTCATCTTGGTGCAAGATTCCTAACATGATGTTAGGCAATCCCTTTATCATTCTTTTGGCTTCTAGGAACCTTCACCAAAACAAACAAAATAGAAGAAAGAAACACACACAAAATAGGCTGGAGTCTGTGGCTATGAAAAAGGAAGACAAGTGTCCGTACTGCCCCATCTCACAGATGCCCTGAGCAGGGTAAAGATCCCAGTGAAGAGTTGACAAGGATGTGGTGCCTCATTTTGACCAGCAGCCGCATGTAGGCGACTTGTAAGGAGGCATATTGACAGGTCCTTTTATTCATTCATTCCTTTTAATCGTCCTTTCGTATTCGCCAAACATTTATTGAAGGCTTACTTGTGTTCCAGGTACGTGGACGTGGAAGTTTGGTTTGGGGTTAGAAACATCCATCACACACTTCTTGAGTGTGGGATCTAAATGTGTTCCTTCTTCGTCTGTCAGAAGCCACGGTTGATAGAGCCTGCTGGGACTGTGGAAGAACTATTTCTAATCTGAAGCTAGGCTCCCCACATGAAATAAATCGTTCTTAAGAAACAGCTTTGAGAAGAGAAACAAGACCACAACGCTTAGAGAAAATTCTGTAAGTGCCCAATTTATTCATAAAACAATACAATTTAAATATTTGTGATTTTTCAAACATTTTTTTTTGTCATCATTACCAAAATGCTTTGCATTTTGCTGACATGTATTTGCAAGATTAGGATCTATAATTATAACTCTGGAAATCATACAAGGCATTTGATTTGCTTATTAATACTGCTCCCCCTGAAATGAACAACAGATTCATTTTGTCTTGTGGTTCACCTCCCCATATCTGTGACGAAAAATACTTTCCATTCTGCACCTCTTATACCTGCAAAACACTTGTTTATTCCCGTGACTTATAAATTAAGTGAGTCAGTCTGTCATCCTTTTGATTCAAGACTGGCCAGCTTATACTGAAACAAAATGGTTCGATCCAAAACAACAAATCCAGGCATTTCTGCGTACAGAGTTTGCTCTCGGGAGTGACACAAAGAGGCAAAGGTGAAAACCCAAGATGGAGCTCGCAGTTGCTGGACCTGGTGTTCAGAGAGCCACATGACATGGCCATTTGCCATGGATAAGTTCTCATAATTGTGGCTCAATGAAGATGCTTGGGGTCTGGCATAAAGGTGAAACCATCCATGCAGTGCTATGTGTGCCTCTCTTAAGAGGGCAGAGCAGGCCAGAGAGCAGTGTTCCCTAGTCTTGTCTAGGGCAGAGGTGTGGCTCCAAAGCAGTGAGACTGACTTGAATGCTGCAAATTCAGGAGTCAGTCTCATTACTTTCTATTCCCACCTCTGAACCAGGCAGGATCTTAATGCTACGGGCAGGGGAAAGGTGCCATTCTCAAACAGGCTAGGAGCTGCCCTGTTTCAAATGGTCTCTCTTCTGACACCTGGCATGGAGAACCTCACTACTCTCAGTGCAGTCCAAGGACTGCATTAGCATCATTTGGGGGCCTTATTAAGGGATGAGGCATCTCAGGCCCCACTCAGATAGATTCTATCAAAATCAGAATTTCAACAACTCTCAGATGAGACGCATGTATCGGGAAAGCCAAGAGGGACTGGGTGTCTGAAGCCCCCTCCAGACAGACTACTATGCATCCTCTTTAGCTCAGAGACCATTTTCACCAGGGAAGAGCGAAGGCAACACCTGCAGAAACAGTGTGGTGTTCGATTTTAAAGTTACTTGAAACATGCAAAATACAGTCCATGCATGTGCCTTTTTGAAAAGTCTCTGAGCCTGTAGCAGATAAACCCAGGTATGTTTTGGCTATCAACGTTCAATAAATATTTCAAAATGCTTTACAGTGTAAAGATAATAAGAAATTTAGCAAAATTTCAACAAACCTGTATAAAAAACAGATACAGATACCATTTTATTTCAAGGCGACATGCTGTAATGTAAAGAGTAAGTTATTACCTGTTGGTCTTTGTAAAAAGTCTTTAACAATGCAAGGGCTTAATAGATCCAGGTGTTGGGGCTACACATGCAAAAAAAAAAAAAGGTTAAAAATCACCAAAACGTGCTATTTTTAAATGTGTAATTTTTTTTTAAAGTACAGGAGTAGTAGAAGTATTAAATATTAGCAGGAGGAATATTTTGGAACTCTGTAAAAGTGTACAAAGCTCACGGTGCTAGTGTCCTGGAAGAGTCGTACATTTCTGATGAACATTTTGGCTTAATCCCTTTGCCGTTGTAATAGTCCACGACTTGGTTTGGGACTTCCGCCAACACACTCTTGGCCAGGGCAGCTGGGGAGGCCTGCGGAGAGGAAGAGATCACCATGACTTTGGCTTGTGGTCAAAGAATTGGTCCTGCCCTGAGAAGCTGGGCTCATTCATGGTTCCTCTGCGGGGGGTCAACTCCAAATAAGAGTTATCAAAAGAGCATTGGGGGGCCCGGCGCGGTGGCGCAAGTGGTTAAGGTCCTCGCCTTGCACACCTGGGATCCCATATGGGCGCCGGTTCTAATCCCGGCAGCCCCGCTTCCCTTCCAGCTCCCTGCCTGTGGCCCGGGAAAGCAGTCGAGGACGGCCCAAAGCTTTGGGACCCTGCACCCGCGTGGGAGACCCAGAAGAGGCTCCTGGCTTCGGACCGGCATAGCATCGGCTATGCATAGCATCGGCCGTTGCGCTCACTTGGGGAGTGAATCATCGGACGGAAGATCTTCCTCTCTGTCTCTCCTCTCTGTATATCCGCCTTTCCAATAAGAAAATAATAAAAATAAATCTTAAAAAAAATAAAAAAAAAGAGCATTGGGAGGTGAGAGTCAGCTGCATGGGACAATGAATTGTCCTGTAGTTTTATGTCTGATTTTCATGCAATTCTAGACACTTTGCTTTCAGGTGCTTTGCAAAGGTGTAGAGGATTTGAGGCTTGTCATCAGGCCTGTGCTAATCACGTGATGGGAGATTGGTATGAGTAACATCCATTATGAACCCTGACACAGGCAGAACACGACTGAAGCTACAGACAAGCTGCACCATCACATGGAAACTTATTAGCAACTTAGACCCTCAGACCCAATCCTGAGCTGCTGAGTCAGGCCTAATCACTGAACACAATGCCCCAGTGATTCCACTGCATGTTGGAACTTGATAACGTCTACCTGGAGAGTCATGGTACGGAAGTCAGAGCACTGGGAACAATGAGACGAAGCTATGTAGGAGGAAGTGACAGCTGGTGTCCAAGAGGGAGGTGGACACATTTTAAATTATTTTAGTTTCATTTTATTTAAAAGGCAGAGTGACAGAAAGACACAGAGATACCCATTGGTTGGCTTACTCCCTTGCCAGGCAGAGTTGTGCCAGGCTTAAACCAGCAACCAAGAGCTCAGTTTGGGCTTCTCCTATGAGTGACAAGGACCCAAATACTTGAGCCATCATCTGCGGAGCCGAACACATTTCAAAAACCATAGAAAAGGGGTAGGGAGTGGCATTTGATCATGTCTGAGACACAGCTTGTGCTGAGGCTGGAGGAAGTATGGATTAGCGTGAGCTGCAGGTGCTGGGTCAGTGGGGCACTCAGCTGGGTGATAAGCTGGAGGTCAGGTCATAGATAATCTTGAATAATTGATTAATTTAGTGTTCTTCTATCAGCATTAAAGATCCATGGTGGACAGAGACACAGTACAAGGACAGAGATGTAGCACAAGGGGATGAATGCAGTACAAGAAAGTTGAGGCGGATACCATGCACGGACTCCGGAATCCTGCAGGAGAGTAACTTCAGTGGCCAGAGCCACATTGTTAGTTAGCATTGACAAGGTGGAAAATTGAGGCAGAAAGACCAGCCAATAAGTGTCTGAAATTTTGAAGGAACGAGAGCTGGATGAAAGGCCAAACGGCCTGGTTACATTTTTTTTTATATATATATAGCTTATTACCCAATCACTCAGGTTTATTAGGGTCTTGTAGCCTCAAAGGCAAAACAGGACACAGTCAGAGTTGTTTAGTTAGCATAATGAAATGTTTTTCAAAATCTAATTTGAAATCCATGCAGATAAGGTGTCTGAGCCTGCTCCTGGCACTCTGCCTTAGGCATCCACCAAGCAGCCGGAGGTTCTCATAGCACAGACTGGGAGCAGCACCCCACTTTTGTGCCTCATTTAAGGCATGCTCCTTGTCAGCCTCCTCAATTCCTTGCTCATTGGGGCTCTGCCCTTCATCAAATACCCAGGTGAAGCTGTACAGTTTCCATCTGCTCCAAAGCCCTGCAGTGACATTTGATTTCTTGTCAAACACCCATAGGATGCTTAGCAGACGCTTTTTTTTTTTGCTGACATGTGGTCACAATTATGGGCTCTTTGTTCCATCTTCAGGCAAAGGTACAGGCAGTGCAGAGATGGGGCTCCTCTTTTGTCTGGCTGACAAAGCAGAGCATGACATCAAAATCGAGAACTCACTTCCTTGCCCCTTGGAAGTGACTAGCTTCATGGATGATGGGAGTGCAAACTTGACTGGATGTAGCATAGCTTTACTTGTAGAGAACACTATTTATGATCAATTTATTTGAAAGGGAGAGCAAGAAATTGACATATATATATATGAAAGAGAGAGAGAGAGAGAGCTTTAAAACACTGGTTCACTCCCAAATGCCTGTGACAGCCATGGTTGGATCAGGCAGAAGGCAGAAGTCAGGAACCACATTGGGTCTCCCATGTGAGTAACAGGTGCCCAAGTACTTCAGAGCTATAACCAGCTACCTCCTGGTGTGGAATCTGAAGCAGAGGACCTGGAGCTTCAGTCAGGCACTCAGCTATGGAAAGGGGCATCCCAAGCAATGCCCTCACATACCATATGACCACTTAAAGGAATATGAGTCTGATGTCATTCCTTACTGCCCACTTGCTGACAACTGGAGGGCTTGGTGAGCCTCTTTGATCCAATGACGGCTTCTTTTAGGAACCCTCCTCATGGGGAATGCTGAAGATGAGATGTGACAGCACCTTTGTCCCACTCACCCACGCGCCCTGGGAACTTGTCAGGGAGGCAGGTGGCAGTGGCTGCTGCTACTTTCAAACTCCCTGTGTATGCAACTCTGCAGTCAAGGATTGATTTTCTGCTCTCTTAATGATTTTCATCACTGCAGCTCTCCCTACAAGGAGAGCTGTACAGTTATGAACAAACAATACCTCATCACTCGAGGAGCACGGGATTGTTCAGTATCTTCACAGCAGGCCAGGACATAGAGGGTTCAACCGAGGCTACGGGGCTGGGGATTTATTTCTGTGCTTATTAGGAAGCCTGTTCTGAGAAGGTGGTAGAACAAACAGTAATTGCTGAAGAGCAGATGCGGAGGACTCTGACAATGAGACTGGCATTGGGACCACAATGAAGAACAGGGATGGACGGGTAGATGGTGCACGTAACAAATAGTCATAACAAACAACAATCCATCCCCCTTCTACTCTTAGACTTAGTTTATCCAGTGGGAACTCAAATTGGGGATCGGATGTGCCTGCATTGTGAATTATGCCAGGGATTTATCTGTACGGCAGTTTAGCAAGGCATGGCATCTGTGGCTTCTTCCCCTCTGACCACGTAGCTGGCTTGAGCCTCAATGGGGCAGAGACTGCAATGCACAATAACAAAGCTATTCCAGGCAGGACCCCTTGCAATGTGGGGACAGAAACTTCACTGCATGCGTGGTTCATCTTGGAGGATGCTACAGCTTAGAACGGAGGGGATTCCTTTCCGAGGAGATGACAGAGTTGCTGCAGAACACTGCCGTTTCTCTTGCCGTGGCAGTTCAGATTTCGTTTACAGTTTTCCAGAGGCAGTAACTGATGTGGCTGGCACCACCCACAAGGCAGAGGGCAAGGATTTCAGGGCAGAAGGGTTGGGAGATGCTGTGCTATTGTGTGGATTCACAAGGTGCACAAACCTACGAACAGAAGACCGTTGGCAATCCCTCACCCACTGCTTCCCCACTCACCACAGACTCCCAGACACAGCTGCGGGGGCTTCTGAAGGCTCTCCGGGCCACGGCTAACTCCCAGCAGCTTTGTAAGAATTCGGAAGTGTGTCCCTCGTGGCCACGGTAGGTCCACAGTTATGGAAACCTTTTAATATATGCCTTCCTCTAGTGTCTCAAAAATTAAGCAAAATTTGGAAATACAGAAAAATGGTGACTGAAAATCTTTATGATATCACAGAAGACGAGAGCAAGGCTTTTTGGGCCCACCCCCACTGTTCCATCAGAAGGTGGAACACTGGAATTTTAACTGTTGGTCATTAACCAACTTTGGATATACTTTAATAAACATACTCCAGCACTTCTTCCCACGGACTGTATTTAACTCTCTTACTCCTTTGAATCAATGTTGTTGTCTTGTTCATGAATTAAACAAATCTTTGATGCATCTTACTATACATTTATAGAACATCTAGCTTTCCATCCTATTGTATCATATAATTTATTTCCTATAATATCTACCAGATTATGAAATTCTCCCAGGGAGCATGCCTTGACAAATAGAATCCCAGCTGAGTTTCATCTTCTTGACACTTTCTGGACACCACTGGGCCATGGGCAGTTTATGCAATACTGATGCGGGCAGGCCTCACTGAACATTCTGGGTACCACTGTTATTACTACTGCTAGCATGTGGAGAGGTGGGGGAGGGCATGTTTGGTTCTGCTCTCCCACGGGAAGCACCCCCCAAGGTCCGTGCGTACGTGTTTGAAGTTCCTGAAGGGCACGAACTGGACGATGTCTCGGAGCACAGGCTCTCCCTTGGGTGACCTCAGGATCCCGTCGTCACCGTCCAGCATCTGCATGTCACTGAAGTCAGCATTGCCCACTCCCACGATGATGACCGACATGGGCAGGTGGGAGGCGTGCACGATGGCCTCTCGGGTATCTGCCATGTCCGTGATGACACCGTCGGTCAGGATCAGCAGGATGAAGTATTGCTGGGGTCAGAGGCCAGGGAGTGATGGAGGATGGAGAGGAGGGGGAGACAGGACAACAGGACACCAGTTAGCTTCGGGGTGGCTCCGTTGTACACTGACTCCAGCAGTGTTGAGGGCGGAAGCTGCTTCGTGTGCCTGTGTTGATGGGCTTTGGGACTCAAGGATGGGCTTTGAGGAATAGGACTGGAAGGCAGACACTACAGTTACAGCTTTACTGATGCTGGCACTCGACTGTGTTATAGGGCGTAGGGACAATCAGAAGGGCTGGCTTCAAAGCCTTGTTCTGTGAGGCCCTGTGCAAAGGTCCTTGCTGTCCCCAGTTCTCAGCATCTTCACATCTCATGCTGTGGGTGGGCTCCTTCCAATTTTTAAAATTCTGCAGCTGTACTGCTCAACACAAATCCTTGTCCCTTAAGGACAGTGAGCCCTGTGGCCAGCGCAACTGAGGACCTGATCTAAAAGTTGGAATCTTAACGCACGCAAATTTTGCTTTCAAAATGGGAAAGCAGGTGCTGCAAATCGCACTTCTGTGGGCCCTTTGTGCCTTCCGCTCTCCTACTCCTGTCTGGATCCGTGTCATTCTCCCTTCCAGCTCCATCACCTGAGGGGCAAACCCCGAATGATCACCTCATCATCAGGGCTGAGCTGGAGCAAGGGCCAGGATCCTGTTTTCCAGAAAGGGAAACTAATAATAAATATTGTCTCCTTTCAGCCCACACTGGTCTCTGAGCATCATGCGAGCAGCGAGTACTGCAGTGTGACAGCGGCCACGGATGGTATTTAACATGAATGAGCGTGTCTGTGTTCTAGGAAAACTATTTGTATGGTTGCTAAAATTTGAACGTCATGTAATTTCTACGTGTCATGAAGTATTCTTTATATTTTTCAACCACTAACACATGTGAAAATCCTTCCCGATTTGCAAGCCGCTGAGGCACAGGCTGTGGGACAGAGCGTGCTGGTCCCTGGTGTAGAGAGAGACCTCTTCATCTGGGTCTACGAACTCTCAGGCAGCCTAAGACCTTGGAGGTTAATTACATTTTAATTTTCACTAACCCGTAACTGAAATTTATCCTTTTTCAACTATAGATCTATCAATAGCTCAGATTAGTATTAGCTATAATTCTCAGTCCCCAGTAGAAATCATAGATATTTTCCTGTTCTATGACAGTGGTTGCAAATATTCCAATCTACCATTTTTATTTAATACTACCTAGAAACCACAAAGACCAGCAATTGATTCTTATAAATTAATATAGTATGTAAGCCAGGATGCCATTGCACTTATGATGGATCTATGCCACATGAAAATATATTTTTAGCTGCATTTCAACATAATCAATTTCATTTATAAAGTGCAGTCTATTTTGTGCCCTTAAAACTATTAAGAGCCAGGGATTTAAGAGTTATACCAGCTGCTAAATGGGTCAATGCAACAAATGGGTTAAAAGTCCTTGGTTTAAAGACATTGTCAGGCTTTCTGGAAGCTGGTGTTTTCAGTTTTCATCTAGCTAGAAGCAATGGGCTGCCAACTGCTGGACCAAGCCTGATGGAAATTTCCAATAAAGCTAGAAGTAACAGTTTTCTTCTAAAGTCAGGATAGGAAAACGCTCATGGAAGAAACGCGATAGTTTCTGAAAATACCTAGAACCTTGCTTAGATAAGCATATGACTTTTTCTTTTTTCCCTAGATAGCACAAATTCAAGGAGAAAAGTCTCTAGTCACAGACTCCCTAGAACTGCCCGCTTCAGATTGTACTTTGTGACTCTTAGTAGTCAGGGCCAACAGGGCCCTGGGACACTGACAGTTCAAGGACTGAAGACCGAAGTAGGTTAAATTACTTGTCCAAACTCAGCTGGACAGAAATACTGGAAGTTACTGTCAGGGTGGATATCTGTTTTGGCCAGGTGAGAGAGGGGAAATCCTGTTAGCAGTTGAGCCAGCCTTTTCCTTACCGATGCCTCCTTGGTGTTGGTCTCCTCCGACGCTGACTTTGCAACCTTCTGAATGATGGGGGCAATATTGGTGGGGCCATAGAGCTGCAGCTTAGGAAGACAGCTCTGGTAGGCTTCCACGACTCCTTGAATTCCTAGGGTGAAACCAGCAAAGTGAACAATTCTCCACATACAGGCTCTCTCTCTCGCTCTCTGTGACACACACACACACACACACACACACACACACAGAGCATGGGATTTTCTCAAACCATCCTTAACAAAACCACATCTATGTTTTTCAGGTGACAAGAAATACCACACTGCTCGTGTTGCTGCCTCACCCTAACTGGAATCCCTCTCTTGAAGAGCTCAAGCCAGAAGTGACCATTCCTCCCTGCTTTCCCCTAATGGGTCAATTTCCACATGAGAGTTTCTTTGTACCACACAGCATAATGAAATTGCCGCCCCACTTTTACTGACAAAAAAGCAGAGGCTTATGCAGGGTCAAATGATTTGCAGAAAGTGAGTTGTGGACTTCTCTGACCGGCTCTAAGAATTGTGTTCTTAGCTATGGGTCAGGTGGCTGGATGCGTCTCTATTTTCACATCCTGTGGCTCCATTCTTGCACATCACTTGGGCCACTGTAAGAGTTGCGTGTACATATGACTGTGTCTCTAGCTGTGAAGCTCCTCATGGGCAGAAGTCATGACTTGCTCATTCTCACACTCTAAAGAGCACGAGGCAGTCTAGTTCACTAAGTGTGCTGAGGATGAGCAAACGATTACTATGCTCATGTACGGGGGACTTTGACATAGAGGTCTGATGTTCATCATCATCGTGGTCAGCCTCTCCTTTAAAGCGAGCTTCCATTCTGAATTGACACGAGCCCAGGAAATAGTTAAGCACTGGACTCTGGAGGAGAGGCAGCCCTGGTTCTGTAGCTCTCCCAACACTTCATGAGTCCTCACTGCAAAGTGAACAATTGCCACCATCCTGATTCTGCAATAACAGTGCCCTTGCAAGTGATTTTCACCCAGTGGCTCCTCTTGGTGCTTTTCTCTATGGTGCCTCTTCTATGCTTTGTCCTTTTTCAGCTCACCCACCATTCCTTTCTGTCTTAACACAGCAAGTTGCATCTGTTTTTGGCTAGAGAAATCCACACAAGCCACTCCAGAGAGCATTCTCTATAGCTCCCAGGCCCTGAAAACTCAACTCCTGGGGGCTGGGTGAACAAGTTCTGTTTTGCTCTGCCCTTACACATGCTTCCAATCTCATGGAAAGGGCTGCTCCCACTTGGCCCTGTCCTAAAGTCTGTCCCTCTATAGACAGATGCCAGATAACCAGGCAGCCTGATCCTGGAGTAAAGTGATGGTGAATAGGAGCTCCATTTCTTTCCCTCTGGGTTTTGCCAAAGATAAACTTTGACTTCCTTTTAAAAAATATCCAGCAGATGGAAAACAAGAGTATAAACAGGCGAGCCCTAGGGCATGCATTGCATTTTGTTTTGGTGGAAGTCACTCCTCTGGCTATCCAATGGAAGTTGCTAGGGAGGAGAGAAGTCTAAACTACCAAGAACTGGAGGCGAGGGATTCTGCAGGGAATAAGGGACAATGGGGATTCAGGCTTGGAGGGACTTTGCTCAGAAGCTATGATATTGATGCTTTATTCCTAGATATTAGTAGCCAAGTCTGTGAAAGAAGCTGATGGATTCTCTACACCCTGTCCTGGCTTCTCTCTGACAAACAGGAGGAGAGAGATGGACATTTCTATGGTAAGGATATCAGGGATCTTCATAGCAACAAACGTCATTGGATTGATTAGTTTTTTTAGAAAGCAGGACAAATGTCACCATCATCATTATTGTCATGATCTCAGTATAATTATTTTGTGGAGTGGAAATAATAGCATAGACCCGTACCGCTGAGACAGATCTTTCTAACACTGAGCCATGAAGCTCTCTATTCAATGTCACTGAAGCCACATCCTCGGCAAACACACCCCCAGGGTCATGTGATTTCCACGATTTCCCCTTTCCTTCTGCCTGTACACAAAATCATAAAGAATAAATGTGTGAATGTGAAAAGCAGAAGATGAAAAGGTCACCATCCTTGCCCACAAAGCTAAACCTCTTTGCACAAGTTTTGCATGGAATCCAGGACTGGGATCAATATTCTAGCTCCTATTTTCTGCCGTGTAAGCATGGCTGTCTGCTGCCTTGAGAACAGCTTACCGTATTTGGCTGCCGAAGCCCACTTTTCTGCTCTGGGCAGTCACAACTGACTCTGCATTGGTGCAGAGAAAGAGGGGGGAGGTGCATCCAGAGAGTTAAGAGATGTAGGATTTATTTCATGTCGGACTTACCTGCACATTCCGGGTTGTCTTCATTAAAGTTGATTGCAAAGTCATGTGACACCTAGACACCCAAGGAATGCACACAAGGAAGAACGGAGAATTAGAATCCTAATCCAGTTTGGAGGCAGCTGATTTTACAGTTTGTAAATCAGAATTCCTTCCATTCATGAAGTGTGAAGCCACAGAAAGTATTTTAAACCTTTCCACAATCAATCTGAGATAGAGGGTGAATTCTAAACTCCCTGTGGAATTGAGGAACCAGGAAAATTTTCTGGAATAAGAGAAATGCTAGTAGGAGGAGAGGCTAATGCATGCAAAAATTATAGCAGTAAATTTCAGAAAAACATTATTCCAAATGGTTCTAGGTAGAACCAGCCATGAGCTGAGGTGCAGACTTGGCTGAACTCTATCTGGACCTATTGGTTTGAAAGACAAAAAAAGATAACTCAGTAACCCAAGCTGTCAACTTAACAAGGAGATGGTTAAAAAGGTTCCAACAAGCTGTTGGCATTTAAGAATCATTCCAACATGATTTGCAGAACCACAGGGCAGGATGATTTTCACACTAATAGAGGCAAAATACTTGCTACTCTAATTTTGAAAATCTTGCAACACAGATTCCTGTATGTGGAAAAACCCATGTATAAGATCAAATAGCACAGTGTTTAGTTTTTTTCCCCAAAAACCTGGGAGCAAGGAGTCTCTTTTCTGTTTTCCATGCAGCTGCAGAGGCCCAAGGCCTAAGGCTAACCTCTCCTGCTCTCCCAGGCCATTAGCAGAAAGCTGAATTAGCAGTAGAACAGCTGGGATACAAACAGGTGCCCATATGGGATGCCAGTGCTAGCAGGTGGAGGTAAGCCTGCTATGCTGCCATACCAGGCACAGCTGGACCTAACTCAATTACTGCTCACTCTAGCAGAGATATAAAGGGAAAGGCCCTTTGACCATGTTGGTGAGGAAGCAAAGGTCATCTGCTTCCTGACCTGTGGCACAGGCGTCGTTGGTGAAGAGGGATCAATGACTGGCAGCACCTAGCTTGGGCCTGAGAGGTGCTGGAGAGGAGCAGGCTTGGTCAGAGACTCCGCTATCCACCTGCAGGAGCCTAGTTCTCTCTGGAGAGTATTTCCAGGGGGTATCTGGTACCCAAGGGTGTGGGGAGCAGGGGGACTTGATGTCTGCAGCACACCTGTTTCAGTCTTTGCTCCCTTTGTGTCATGTGCAGCCCTAAGACACTTCCAGCTCCCCAGGTGCTGGGCCACGCTTTTCTGGGCCTTCCATACATGATGGGTGCTTAGACACTTCAGTGAGGGTTGCAGACATCTTCATTATGAATATTCACAGTTGGTCCTTCTCAGAAGGATCTCCTGCAGGAAGATCTGAGTGGAAAGACCCTAGAGGTCAAGGTCTTGAGTGTTTTCTGTCTCTGACCATATCTACAGCATGTTGGAAGCTAAGCAAGGGACCCCTTCATCAAAGCCTCTGAGAACATCCATGCAGAACACTGGGAGATGAAGTTTCACTGAGAGATGGTCTCCAGAGGGTTCAAATCATCTTTGACTCTTTGAGAGCAACTGAGGCTGCTAGGAAGGAAATCCAAGTTATCCCTGACCTTCAGTCAAATGAAAGATCCTCAATCCAGTCACTTACCGTGTATTCTGGGGGTATCCTGGCACCAAACCCAAATGCTGGAAACATTTTATCACTAAAATTAAAAGAAAAAAAAGCTGGTTCATTTGTTCAGCTAATGAGAAAAAGACAAGAATGCGCAGTATCACTGCATTAGGATATGTTGCTATGCCAAATGCTGCCTCATGCTTCTTGATGATCTGCAGTGGTTGGGGCAGCAGTAGCATGAATAATTAAATCCAGACATAATTCCAAAGGTTCACGACAGTCACCAGTCTGTAACTCTTTCATTTTTCTTAACGCTCCTCTTGACCTGGCCTCCTATTGCCTTTGAAAAGTGACCACTGGTTAGGTCACTCCTAAAATTGCTGGTATCAGGATCTGTAGCTACATATGGATCTGCCACCTACTCACTCTACCTTCAGGGGTAGAGTCCTTTGACCAAGACCATTCAAGTTCACACTAATTTGGAGGCAGGGTTTAAATACAGGCAAGCCTGAGTCCAAGAAGATATTACAAACATTTGGAAAGTCTGCACGGTTAGCTGATTGGCAGAGCTGGCTTTTCTCCATAGGACCATTATGCTTGCCCACTTATCACATAAGAGCAGTCATAAGCAGTAGATTCTTCACTTGTCTTTTCTTGTGTCCCTAACTTAGTGTCTATATCTTTACAGCTTCATTTCCTGATCTTCATTATAGTACTTGCCTTAGAACATGTGCTCAGTATGTAGAAATGGTGAGTGCAGACAACCCATGAGTTGAAATCATTCTGATGTGCTTGTAGAGAGAGGAGTTCCCGGTGGTGGAGAGAATTCTTGTGCAAGCCCAAGAGAGTTACTGATGTGGAATTGTGCTTGGCTTTTCTTGGGCACATTGAAATATTTCTTCTAATATATTCATTCATGTGTAGTATACCTTCACTGTAACTTTACATTATTATTGTCAAGAAGATGAGAGCAGAGGAATGTTTCTTGATACATGCAATGTGCCTAGTTAGAATGCTGGATGAATATGTATTTCTGCTTCATAGAAGCCTGAAGTTCTATCTGCTTGTTCTTTGCATTTTAAAGACAGAGTCTCAGGTGAAGTAAATGTCCTAAGCTGATTTCCAGGTGGGCCGGCATGACTGTGAAGTCCACGCCTTTCCTGCTATGCTATCAGTTTCCTGTTGGGCTAGTATATAGAATTATCATATATATGCATATATTTAAACATGATTTCCTATTGGCACATACAGTATGTGGATCCCCTGTTCGGACAACGGAAAGACTGTCCTCGTGCAGATTTTGTGTTACTGGAGAGGTATTGTTGCAGGGCTCTTGAGCATCGATCTTGGCAGCAGGCATGTCCTTCCTACACTGACCTTTGAATTTTCCCATTAAGAACCGCTCAGGTTCATTCTTGGAACGATGCTCCCTACATTTCTGAGTTCTTGATAGAGTTAGTCAAGAAGAAAAAACTTTAGGATTAGGGCTCACTCTCTTGAATATCTTCTCTAACACAGATGATGTCTCTCCTTCCCCAGTCTGACCAGGAAGTCAAAAGAGCAATGGTAGATCCTTGCCCATCACCAGTTAATCGATTTACAAGTCACCTGTATTGAGTGATGACTCTGAAGACACTTTATCAAGCACAGACAAACTGACCAATGCAGAGCTAACAGTCGGGCCGTAGAAGAAAGTGAGAACATTTTTGAAATCCAAGCCTAAATTCTCTTGAAAATCACTATCTTCCCCCCCTTTTTTTTTCTCTCTGTTTAGCTAGGCGTTTTGGTGCACTGCACTGAACAAGTATTAGGGAAAGTATTAACACTGATACACAGAGACTCAAACTAGCTTACAAAGGATTAGTTACAGCTATGAGAAGATACAGTTCTGGTGCTCGCAAATATTGAAATAATTTGCTTCCACAGTTCCTTGTTACTGGAAACAGCAGTGCTGGGGGGGGGGGAGATCTGTGAGGGGCACTTCAGGGGAATGTTCCAGTTAAGCCTAATAGCAAGCTCTGCCGGATATTCCGCAGCTGAGATGGCTCAGAAATCAAAACAAGGGGGCTCCACACCCCTTGTTTTCTTCTTCGATGAGTCAAGAAGGGATGAGACCTAACACTCCCTCCATTTCGAATCACAAAAGTAATGTCCCAGTCTTAGTGATGTTCCTTTTATACCTTCTAAGCCACTCTGGGGGTTTGCGGTTTGTTGAGCATTATTCACTCTTCCATAATGAATTCCAGGAGTGGGAAGGCAGGAAGATGCTTCACCTACAAGGGGAATAATTAATGAGCCAGGAGGGATAAATGCTCTGAAGTTGGTCACCACAAAGCCTCTAACTAATAAACATCCTACAGAAAGAAAAAAAAAAAAGATAAGCTGCAAGCCTAAGCATAATAGATTTAAATGTCCATTCTTCCTGCTTAAAAGTACCAGTAGGCAGAGAGTCTTACGACGCAGGAAGCAAGTGGACATAATGAAGGAGATGAGAAAGAACGCATCATGCCAGCCCCTCAAAGGACTCAAGATTGGACCTGCTCGATACAGAGGAAAGAGGACACTGGGCAACTATGGGAAAATGGTGAAGCCGGTCAATCCAGAAGATGCAGGGGTACACTTCCACACCGACAAGACCGCATCTCACACCATCAGAACAAAACACAAGTAGAGCCTCAGTTTTCAACAGTAAGCAGTAAGCTGTCTCAGGATGTCCAGGACAAATGATGCTTTTAACTGTGTAAGTCACTGAAGGCGAACTACCTTGCTTGCCTTCCACAGGGGTGTTATTGTTATCCCGTTTAAGATACAAGAAAGCAGCTTGACGTCTTCAAAGAAATGGAAGTGATGACTACTATGAGTTGATGAGCACACCCTGTACAGAGCTGCGAGCTTCACTCTTGAGAGCTTGCTTGGGGGTTCCAGCAGGGGAGTTCACCTGTTCCTATACCCTTGACCAAAGACCGATCCTCCTTTAGCGGGGGTGGTCGTCCTCTTCGACTGAGCATGCAGCTTCATGGGGGAAAACACACGGAGTGGTGAGGGAGGAAGGGGACACCGCCTTGCCAGTCAGATCAGCCGAGTCAATCCTGGCGATCGGGGGTGACGGATGTCGTAGCCAGATTTCTTCATATCTGAGAGTCATTCACAACTTGCAACTTTTTTTTTTTTTTTGCTCTCTTTGAGAAAGATTTGGAGACTAACAAGAAATCAAAGGCAAATCTCCCATAACTCCAAAACAGACAGCCTCTCAGATAACCTGGGTACTTGCTAAGCTCCTATTCTAACTGATCTTATTGCTACTGGACAAAAAGCAAAGCCCTCCTAGGAATGACAGCATTTTACCCCCTCTTTCGTGTCCTTTCCTCTAAGGCAAGTCAGTACAGGTTCCCTGCTTTTCCAGGTATCTGTTGGGATGATCTGGGAATGTCTGGGATAAGATCGTAAGTACCTTCTCCTCTAACTCTTTTGGACTCTCAACTACCATGGTGCATTGCTTCTGAGAGGAACTGCGACAACTCAATTAGAGGAACGTGAGAAGTGACTAACAAGAGAAGCTGGATGTAGTCTGTTGATTGTGACAAATGCTGTGCTAATCTAAAATGTTAAAAATTTTATATGAAGGTGGTGTTGTGGCATAGTGGCCTAAGTTACTTCCTGTGACACCAGCATTCTGATTCAAAGCACCAGATCAAGTACTGACTGTTTAGCTTCTGATCCAACCCCTTACCAGTGCATCTAGGGAAGCAGAAGATGTAGGCTTGGGTCCCTGCCACCTATGTGGGAGACCTGGAGGGAACTCTGCTGTGCCAAGCATGTACTTCAGCCGTCATCTTCTGCCCTCTAGGGTCTATACTGCTAGCAGCAAGCTCGAATTTGGAGTGGAGGTGGGACTCTTCTCCCCTTCCCTCCCACAAAGAAACAAGCTATGTCTTTACTCCCTCAGGCACGTCCCATCCTTACCCAGGACATACGAGGCTTGGATTCTTGACTTGCACTTCTCTCCCATGGGAGTATGACCCCTGTAACAGCAGTTCTGATATTTCTGTCCCTATACCAGCACCTGCGGTGCCCGGCAATTAGACGATTTCCCCTGGGTCCTTCCATTTCACCGAGCCTTCTCCATTCTATTTCTGGATCTCCATCCTGGACATGGATTGGAATTTTTTAAAATCTCAATTCCCAAGATGCACACCGAATAACTGGACCAGCCTCTGGGTATGAGTCGCAGGCAGCTTCCCATCCGAAGGCTTTCCCAATGATTTTGATGAGTGACCAAGGCTGAGTGCCAACAACTAGTGCTGGCAGACAGTACCAGACAGCTTAACGAGAGGAGACTGTCTTTTGAGAATGAACCCAATCTACAGGTGCTCTCACGTAGAGGGGGCAGAAAGGAGCTGGCAACATCACTTTCTGGGAGCAGGTGCCTGCCAAAGCCACCTGAAAAAGAGCTCTATACATGGCTGCGGCTGCTCTGCCTCAGGGCTCACCTTGTAATGCCCCAGCGACAATGACCAAGGAGGCAGCAAGGAAACCCTTGGTTGCCAGAGGCCAGGAGGAATCCCGGAGGCTCTGCGGACAGGCCTGGTGCCGTCTGTCGGCCGTTACTCGAATGTTTCTTTCTGAGAGCCAACCTCTCTGACTTTGATGTGAGAAGAAATTAATTCCTGAGCCTCGACTTGAAGTTTCCCGACTGCCTCTGCCTGTCTTTCCACCCACGCGAACGAGAAGCTGCAGGGCCTCGTCAGTTTTCAGGCAAGCAGCAGCCAGCCTGACACATTCTCCCAGGGAGCCTGTGTGCAAGGCCTTGGGGACATTTCTCTCCCGCTTCTCTTCCTTAGGGGGTCTGCCATGTTCATGTTCAGCTGCCTTCTTTAAACGAGGCTCCGAGCTGCAGAAGTGTGATTTTTTTGGCCGGTTGGAGATGACAAGTTGCACTGCATTGCAATTTTTAAGAGAATCATTTATGACTATTTTTCACATATTTCCCAAGGGACCATATCTTATCTTTCATATTGAGTCTGCATCTTTGAGGGAATTTAAAATGCTCACCAGACTCTGTGTGGGTCCCATTTTAAAGGGCTTGGAAAGCTGCCCAGGTCACTGCAGCTCTAGGGGCTGCATCCTGCAGAGGAGCCAGCAGGAGACGGAATCACTGAGCAGCTTGTTCCTGACCCTGCAATCAGTCAGCAGCTCTGAGCACTGGCACCTTCATTCTGGGCAACCCGTTACTCTTGTTTTGGAGCTAATTATTGAGCTGATGTCTTCCCAGTGGATTCAGAGTCAAAATTTTAAGCAAGCACCTACTGTATGACCTGTGTTATGTGCTGTTTACCTATTTTGTCTCCTTTACAAACATTTGAAGAATTAAAAGAGTCCCAGGGACTGGTACAATAGCCTAGTATGCAAATCCTGTACCTGCAGTGCTGGCATCTCATATGGACACAGGTTCATGTCCCAGACGCTCCACTTCAGATCCAGCTCCCTGGTTATGGTCTGGAAAAGCAGTGGAGGATGGCTCAAGAGTTTGGGCCCTGCACCCACAAGGATGACCCAGAAGAAGCTCCTGGCTCCCAGCTTCATACTGGCACAACTCTGGCCATTGTAGCCATTTGTGAAATAAATCAACAGATGGAAGATCTTTTTCTTTTTCTAACTCCAACTTTCAAGTAAATAAATGTTTTAAAAACAATCCCAAAGACATTCTTTTCCTCCCTTCGTATCCTTTAGTGGATGTATCCATCTTTGTGCTAGACCATTATACATGGTGTGTGTGTGTGTGTGTGTGTGTGTGTGTGTGTGTGTGTGTGACAGAGTGAGAGAGAGAGAGCAAGAGAAGTATAGTTTCTGTGTTTTTGGGCAAAGTTTGGAGACCTTTCTGACACTGCGGAGATGTGTGAGTCTTTCCTCTCTCTGGCAGAGGGAGATATAACTATCTCCATCTGATACAGATATCTCCAGGAATACTTTTTCTGTTGGGACTGGAAAAAAATCAGAGCTGAAACTCAAGTTATCTTCACAGTCAATACTTCAAGGTCAAGTGTAAGCAGTGCCACTTCAACAAGGTAATTTCAAAGCACTCTTTTCTTCTTCCCTAGATGGACAGGAAGGAAAGTGGTAGCAAGGTCCTGAGCGCTTGCAGGTTGCTTTTTATTTTAAAAATTATTTTATTCACATAAAGTGAATGAGACTCATGTATTTCATGATACAGTCTTGGGAGCATACTGATATCCCCCGACCCCATCCTCCCTCCTGCCTGCATCACTCACCTGCCCTCCTTCTCCCCAACTGCACTACGTTTTTACCATGAATCCACTCAGTCCTGACTGCCCTTACACCCTGTTTGCGTTACTGGTGAGCACTGAGTTGAGTCCAGAGACGCCAGCAGACAGGAGAGAGTCTGGATTGTTCCCACTACCTGTCCTGCTCATTTCTCTGGACACTCTGGTCTCCAGGACAAATCATTTCCGATGGTTTGTGTGGGGGTGTCAGGTTGAAACATGGCAGTCATGAATTACAGAACCGGACAGAAAGGGAAGCATGCTGCCCGTGCAGTTCCTCTGAAACCCGGAGGACACACTGTTTTCCTCACTTTGCTGGTGTGCAAGGCGAAGGGGTCACTGCTTGCTACTAACTAGCTTTGCTTTACCATCACACCAGGACACCAAGTGAGAGTCACGGATCTGCATAATTATACTGGCAATGTTTCGAAAAGCTTTCTGAAGCACAGCCCTGAACATCTTGTTCTCTTTCCGGAAATATCGGGAAGGCAGAATAAACCCAACCTGTCATAATTTACACTAATCACTTCTTTCAGGGAATTTTCTTAGTGGGTAAGTCAATACTAACAGTCAAGTACAAACAAATACAACACCAATCCCAGGTAAAACCAAGCAAACCTACACACCCACACTTGCATGGTCCACACATGTGAACATGGGTAGCCATACGTCCTCAGCTAAAGTTACCTGGTGATTATGGCTGAGACTGCACAATGAGACAGACCTGGGTTTGCAAGCCTCTGAAGCATCAATTACCTCCCCCTGTGGTCTCCTTCTTATGTAAACATTCCCATTCTACAAGGTTCATCTGGGGATTCAATGCCATCATGTATGACGAACCTGTGCTCCTAAAATTTCAACATGTGTACAGGTCACCTGGGAATCTTCTTGCAATGCACCACCTTGGAATTCAGTAGGCCAGGAATGCTGCTAGTATATCAGCATGCATGGAGCAGTGAGGCACACAGTAGGACTGCATGATTGGAAGCTCCAGTTGGCACTCAGTGGTCTTACAAAGTCAGGTAGGAGAAGAAGGCTGAGAACAGACTGCTTATTGCGCAAGGCAGGCAGGACTATGGAATGGATGAATGTGTGGGCAGCATTCTGTTCTGCTCTTTCCTGAGTCTCTGTGTGGGAATCTGTGGACATCATTTCCATTCCCACGCTGGATGAGCCCACGGAGAGAGGGATGAGGCCCACCTGCAGGCTCCTACCTGTCATAGTCTTGGCAAATCTCCCCAACAGCCACCAGAGCCTTCAGGTACTCATTGGGTTGGTAAGGGTGGATGTAGTGCAGGGAACAGCTGTTCCTGGGGTCCCCATTTGAGGCAGTAAAATCTATAGCTACCTGGAAGAGAAGAAAAACAAGAAGATTTTAAGTGATTCTATCTCCATGGAATTGTGATCAGCTATGAGAGACAAATGACCTCAGATAGAAAGGAGAAATGCAATGACACACCACATCAATAAAGGAAAGTGCAAGAAGAAATTAATTAGCTCCAAAGCTAGTTATTAATTAGGCTGAGGTCATGCATGGCTGCAGTCTTCAACCCTTGTCTTGTTCGTGTTCTTTCCTCTCCCCCAAATGAAACTTAAGATTGACTCCCAGGTCTGAAAGCCTGGTCACTCAATATCCAACCTCACCGGACAGTAAGAGCAAAGAATGTGCCCCAAGAGACACATTCCCATCTGGGAGGGAGCAGTGAGATCTCTTAACAGCAAATTCTGCATGAAAGATACAGTTTCCATAGCAGTCATCGCTGTATTCCACAGGCTAGCCAATTTCAGGGAAAGGGATGCTCAAGTATTCATAGTAAATTTTCTGTAAGGAGCAACTGTGTGGGAAGCACCTGTTGTTTTGGTCCCAATTCATGGGAGAACTCACGCTTATAGCAAAGTGCGAAAATGTAGTGGCGTTTTGAGTGAAAGATGGAGAGAGGAAATTTTCTCTTGCCTCCACAAGTCATTATCCTTCAAATTGTCAAATTTTTTCCTGATCCCCAATTCATAATCATCTAAACAGAAGCCAATTCACCAAGCTCTTAACAACAAATGCTTAAACTTGACGGTGTTACAGTGAGAGGGACCATTTCTTCAGATTTTTAATATCACCACCATCTGTATGAAAATCAATCCAAGTAAAACATCTCAAAGATGCTTAAACTCAGAGAGGGAAGTGTCGCGTTGCGCCCTTTCTTCTCTTCTGGGGTGCACTGGACCGCGTCCACTGGCAGGGCTGCCAGCTGTGCTGTATCAAACAGGCTTCACTGTAACAAGCACCTGGAACGCTCCGTTGGCCTTATGAAGGTGCAGCGTTACCTCTAAGACAGAGGAAAGATGCCAAGCACTTCCTTGTTGCTTCTTAAGGAGAGAAGCTGATAGGAAAAAAATCACCCATGTCCAATTCCGCAACCCTCCAGTTCTGCAACCTGGAACCAAATCAAAGTGCCTGGAAAAGCAATGGGCTCACAGGAATTCACTCAGACTCTCCTTTCCATCCACAAAGTCAATTTTTCATGACTTCTTTTCTTCCTCTTTGCATCATTCTTCTGCAGGACTTTATAAAAAATAAGCTTTGGTGAGATTCAATTTCTATTTTCATGCCACCCAGATCTTTCCAAAAGGGGTGTCTTACGCTGAAACACTAGCACCAACAGTGTGTGAAAAGTTCACTTGAGGAAGACTTGCATTATCTGCCTCACCCTGGATCAGACAGAAAAGGAAAAAAGAATAACCTTTGTAAAAGCTGCATGCAAATGTGTATGTGTGCGCAAACTATTTCAGAGGTCTTAGAGAATTCCATTTCCATGAAAACTCTGCATACTGGAGGTTGTTATTTTCACATATGGTCACTCTGATGTCATAGTGCAGTGGGAAATGAATAATAACTTCTAATACTCTATAGCACAGTAGGATAACCAAGGGGTCGTAATTAATTATGTATTCCCAAGTGGCTAGTAAAAGGGATTTCAAATGTTTCTAACACAAAGAAATGGCAAATGTTTCAGGCAATGAATATGCCGAAAATAGGAACTCAAAAAGTGACAGAAGGGCATACTAGTCACAGGGTAGAGTTGGATTTGAACTTGCATCTCTAGGCTCTAAAGAATATACTTCTCTATTATATACTCAAGAAAACATGTGAGCCTGTGGCCAACAGAGCAAGACTTCTCATGTGTTTAGTGATTCCCACAAAAAGTGGAGGGAAGTTTTCTTGCAGGTAGGGAGAGCATCTCGGAGGCATCTACAGTTTAAGAGAGGAAGTCCTTGTATGAAATGGTCTTGGTGGCCAACAGTTGTAAAGGTAGGGGGAAAAGCAATCAAAATAGATTGTACGTGTGGGTGCTCAATGTTGACGATGCCGTACATCACCTACAGAACCAACAAATCTAGTTCCATCTCACATGGCGTCATCCTGAAAGGTACTGCCAATCCAGCAGACAAAAGGAGACAACAGGTCGGCGGGGGGCTGAGAAGCTGATGGTCTGGAACACATCTACGTGTGTTTTGTGACTGCAAACAGGCACAAGGCACCCTGGGATGCACCCCTGACACCTGCCTGATCACACAGACGTGTTATTCATGCAGGCAATCCCAGGAACATCGGGTGTTGCGGAAATTCCATCCTGTATGGCTTATGAAGGTCAGCTCCCTGAGCCACCGCTCCCAGCCTGTTTCTCCAGATGTGAAGGATGGCAGGACCTCACGCCTGTCTGCCTGCAGTTCAGGGCAATGATGGGAAGGCTGGGGGTCTAGCTATTCCTCCCTTACCCCTCTGGAAAGCACTTGAGAACCTGAAGAATCCAAGAGAGCATACGATGCTGTGGTGGAGATGCTCTCAACTCCGCTCTAATTCATGTAAAAGAGAAATCATCCCTGAGTGTTGATACTTCACTATTGATAACATGTGCCTTGTGGCTCACAGGACTCCAGTCTGTAGTGCCCTTCACCTGGGTCAGGCCCTCTTCACCACTGGAGGCTGGCACTTCAGCTCCTGAACCTGCAGGTTACAGACACCCTGTCCCCCGTGCTCCTTTCCTGAAGGAGCCTCCTGCAGCGGCAAGGAGATTCTGTAATGAGAAAAACATGCTGCTGCCGCCTTAACATAAAATCTGAGAATGACATCAGGTGATATAAATCCGAGGAGAAAAGTCATAGAGAAAAATAGTGACTCCTTGGCCACTGGTGGCATCTCATCCAAGCCCAGGTGTGTCACTCGCATATGCAAGGTCTGAACGAGCATGTACAGATTTTGAAAACAATAGACTGTAAAAGAAAAAGTAACAAAATAACTATCACAGGATGAGGCAAAGAAGGTGGTGAGGACGCACAAGCCAGCAGTAGATGCTAATTCTGATCCAAGCTTGCAGGATCCTGAGACTGAGGACCTCCTCTGAGTGCACCACTTGTCTCAGCGTTGTCTTGTTCCTAGCAGGTTCCTAAGTGCACTCTCAATGCTCTATGAGCTGCTGAGCAACAGAGATGAGGGCGAAGGGGAGAGTGATTAAAGAGACACTGAGGGAAGAAGCAGAATGGAATCTGGTGAGAGGAGGGAGGCACAGCTTGAGGACAAAGGAACAACGCGAAGGACAAGGCAAGGAGGTGAGTTTCGGGCTGCCTGCTTTGGGTGCTGCTGTAAAGACTTAAGAAAGGTACAGAAATTTTACATTTTTTTTGTTGTTTCTGCAGGCAGATGCATGAGTTTTTCATTTTTCCTGTGGGAATGGGCCTTTGTGTCTATGATGATGAAAGAGATTATGCCAGCTCAGGAGATTCTGATAATATAGACCTGGGGGAGGGCGTCAATTTGCCAACTGACTGATAAAAAGTAAGTCAACCGATGATCTTCACCACCGTGCCCTTTCAGGAATCCCCATCACTCACAGCAAAAGTATTTCCTAATGAGAATAGACAGCAGTATACAGGCTTGAGCCCACAGCAGGAAAAAGCTGTTTTATTTTCGTTGCTTTGTTTTCCTGGCAAGTGATGCTTTTTGAAGTCTCATGAAGCTGGAGATGAGTTATCTGTCTTTAGGAGGCGGCTTTCTACCAAGAATTCTCCATGCTCTTTAAAGTTAGCATTAGCGCAGAGAAAATAGAGCCAAAGGTTAGGCTTCTTTTAGAAAGCAACAGGGAGGCAGTGAATGCTGGGATTAAGTTGAGAAAGAAAAACAAGAAAACGGCTGAAAAATGCCAGTTTGTGGAGGAGGCTCCTGACGCCTGGTTTCCTGCCTGCCGGGGGGCTGCACAGCTGCCACGTTTTCATTTTCTGAGAGGAAGCATTTATGAAGGCTGGGGTTCTGCACGCACACCAATCCTCTCTGCAGGCGACACATGTACAGGTGCCCGTTGCTCTTCCTCTTCCCTAGGCCGCCACTCTCATGATTAAGCAGAACCATGGAACCATTTTGCAAAAAGTTTCTCAAGAATGCAAAATGCCCCCTTGCCTTCCTGTGAGCAAGTTCCCGACAAGGGGAGTGGCTGGTGAGGCAAACCTAGAAGTGACTGACGAGCACCTTTCTTTGGACATTTTAGCTGCATCCATGAGTCCACCCCAGTGCTGGGGTTCCTCCCAGCGTGTGATCGCTGGGGCCATGAGGAGCATCCTGGACAGCTCTGCAAAGCCGTTTCTGTGGCTGACTCTCTGATCATCTGCAGGATAGGTTCACATGGGTGCAACTTTGCCTTACAGCTTACAATCTACATTAGAATACTCTATCTGAGCAACCAGGAATTTACAAGAAGGTTGACTTAATTTTGAAGGAAAATGACAAGATGGGACATTTAGCTATCCTCTTCCAAGTCTGCAGCCTGCAGCCCCGCTGGGGAAGGGTCTCAGCAGGAACATTCGGTGACCTGTCCTCATCTCCCTAGGGTCGTTTTGTACTTTCTTTTCCTTCTCACTTCCCCTCTTCTAGATTACCACTTCCACCTCCATGCCACACAGGCTTTCCAGTCAACTCTGGAGGGGATGAACAGCACGGACCGGGGTGTTGGTGGCAAACTCTGAGGAGGCCTTTTCCCAGGTTGGAAAATCAGCATGACAAGAAAGGAAGGGAGAATAAAGTATGGAAGGCAAGCTTCCTGTGTCAGGCAGGTCACGGGGACATTGGAGTGTCAGGCAGGTCACAGGGACATCGGAGTGTCAGGCTGTGGGGTGGAAGTCATTAGGAATTATCCAGTTTTCCTTGGGGCTGATTCTTTGCAGCCCAACTCCGAGGGCAAAGGAAGCCCTTGAAGGTCGAATAAAGAATTGTTCAAAAGCATGGCATCTACAGCATCTAAAACAATCTGAAATCAATAGATCTTTCCCTTGGAAAACTATAAATAGTTTCTGGAAATCACTCCTTTGCTTATTATCTTGGGAAACTATTTTCAGTAGCTCTCCTTCATGACATTGCTGGTCTCTTTATTTCCATTTATATTCACCCCGAGCCGCAGTGAGCCCACAGTTCATTTGGAGTTGGGTGCCCACAAGACACATGTTTGCAGCCGTCTGTGGTAGGGTGCTTCGGAAAGTTCATGGGTGAACGAAATTCAACGATGCCTTTATTTTTTGGTGCATTTAAAAAAAATCGGTGCCTACTTTTCTCATACTATGAAACAAGTTAGTATTCAAGTAAAAGAACGAGGCAGGGAGGAGACCTAAGGAGAGCTCATGGATGACAGCCCAGGACAAGCCCTCCCTTGCATTTCCCCACTTAGTGCTCGGAGCAGTACTATCCGTGATCCCCGAAACACACTGGTTATGGCTATTCACTTGAGCCCATACCTTGACAACAAAATTAAACCCATTTTCCTTGCTTTGCTCACATAATTGAGCCGGTTTAGGGAGCTACACAGGCTGAACTTAATCTTCAAGATGAGAAGTAAATGCTGGACAAATTGCCTCTCTCTTGTTTATAACCTTGTTTCCTTCTCGCAAGTGTTAGCACAGTGATTTTACTGTGTGGGAATCCTGTGTCTAGAGGTCACCTGTATCCTGTATCACCAGTGGAAGCAAGTTGTTTCTGGGTAGATAGACAACCTTGGCCTGCCTGCAAATTTTCTAAATTACAGCTTACACACCCAACAGGGATGGCCCCTCGATTCAATCAGGAGAAATGCCCACTCAATTCTCAACCTTGATTTCAACCTGGTTCTCCAGTCTTTGGAATTCATCTTTCCATTGCCTGATGGACCATCTGGATGGCCTATGATTTTTACTGACCATTGGGCAGGATGTTGGTACTTGTATATTGGCTATAAGAGCACAACCTAGGCATCTGCCGTGGTTCAAACAAACTTCTTATTTGAACCTTTCCTAACCTTCTCCCCAGGTGGTAGAATCTGGCAGTTACACACTGCTTCATTCTTCACACAGTTCACCAAAAGAGTGTAAAGCATTCAAAGGGTTCTCCAAACCATCGGAGCTCTAGTGGCACAAATTTCCTGACACAATGGTGGAAACTCCATCTCACTAGAGGAAGCAATATTATGAGCTGCTATCAAAATGTGAGACCTTGAATTTCAACAATGACACCTGGACATGATGCCATACAGTATGTTAACAATGATACATGGACAGATATGACCCAGGGTTTTAACAGACTGGTCTCCTTGTGTTCCCAAGCCAGTACCATTTCTTATCCCATGTTCCCTAAGTAAGAATAAACAATGGAAACAACTTACTGTAAACTGGATTTGGCAGCCACCCATGATGTAATCCAAGAAAGAGTGCATCTTGTGGATCTATGCAGAAGGAAAGGCAACCATGTTAGTAACAGCCTGAACTGCCTCCATTCAGATGGGAGCCTAAACACTGGAGCTAGGTCACTGAACTAGAGATAAAATCAGAAAGCTCTACGAGGAAAACAAATCATTAGACATCATTCCACTAAAAGAGAGGAAGAAATGCTAATGTGGTTAGGCACAGTTGGAACCCTTCTTCCTTTTATTTTGAATTGTGCATGATTTTAATCAGCTTCTGCCTCTGGGATGAGACTAACACTGTATTTTCAAAGGTCAACGTCACTTTCCAATCAATCAGGTCTCACACTTAGCTTCAATTTGGTTTCCATGCGTCTAAATGCTGGTCTTGATACCACTCCTAATCTTTGTTAGGGTTGGCATCTTCAAGGCTACAGCTACTTGGGAAAGTCTTTACTGACAACTTCCGGTTAGTTAGACCCTTCCCCAGCCAACAATGGCTCTCGTTTCTTAAGGACTTACCACAGGCCAGCCACTTAGCATCTCTTATCTCATTTAACTCTTAGAACAATCTTCTGAAGGTGGAACTGTAGCTACTATTGCATCCCTCTTACAGTTAAGGGAAGGTAGAAATCTCAGGGTTGTAATAACATGAAACAGAACTCACTGTAGTTACTCTCACATAGTAACTACCTAACTCGTGTCAGTGTGATTGTCAGGTATGATGTTGAAGGTTTCATTATCAGCACAAGGAAGTCTCTGCAAAGTCGAGCTCCTTCTATCAGTTCCTTATTTGCACATTGCCCTTTCAGCATGGGTGAATATCAGACAGAAAGCACCGACACTGTGACAGCTTCATAGAGCTCATAAGACGCTGGCTGCACCTGCTCCTACCTCTCCCTCTGGCACTGCCTTGGGCAGAAAAGAGTCTGACCTGTGACCAGAACACTCCTGCCTTTGGGGAACAGATGGAGGCACTTGGCTCTGTAGCTCTAAGACCCTGTCTGCTCAACCTTCTCACTGCACATTCATTGCTAGGTTGAATTTCTGACTGATCTGTAGAAATATTACATACTTGTTCTCTTTGGCCACGCAGCCTGAAAGACCCGACTTTATGCATTGGGAAGAAGGGACCATACCTTGCACTGATTCAGAATCACAATGCCTGAGTTCTTGTAGTTCTTCTTTTTGGCTTTGTACTTGGGGTTGATGCACTCCCACTGCACCTGCAACAAGAATGGTCACAGCATGACAGCCTGCTCAGGAAGAGGTCAAGCCATTCACTGGTGCCCAGTCCTGGGGTGATGCTGTTGACAAACCAGGCAGGAGGGTTGTCTGATAGTCCTAAAATTGGACAAGTGTGATTGATGAATTGAATTTCAATTTAATTGAAATTTAAGGGACTGCTTCCCTAGCCTGGAAGTGACAATGTGTCTGTGCTTTCAACACCTGCACAATTGTGTGTCAGAATCTGCCTTTGCTTGTGCCCTGACATCGACCATGTCCCCTGCAGGGCAACACTGACTCTCTAGATTTTGTGGCCTCTGCCAAAATCTTTCACTTTACCTCTCTTTTCTGCTTGCCTCTGCAAGGCTATTCCGTGCACTCATAATGCTTTTCTCTCACTCACACACGGTTGGCTTATTCTCATTTTTCGTGATGAAATCACCCCTTCAGATGATCTCTCCTGCACACACACCTCTACCTTAGCCTGATTTGATGTGATTGGTCACAAGCTGTGATTTCTCTCCTATTATTTGTTTTTGATTTGTGCTTCTACTCTGCCTGATTCTGTCCAGTCTTGGAGCTCCTGTAGGGGCACAGGGACTAGGTCAGCACAGTGCGTCCTGGCATACCTTAAGCTGGCACAATGCCCGGAGCTCACTGGACATTCTTGAATCAACAAGAGCTGGCAAACAAGGAATTATGTGCACTTGTGCAAATGTGCCAACACCAGAGCTGGGTGGTTGAACTAAAATTTTCCTGATATCTCAGTGCTAGAGGAAAGTGAAATAGCCTATGATCTCTTTCTTTAGTGAAGTGTTAAGATTCATTTCTGTTTGAAACTATCAGGCTTTGGCAGGCTTGCTTTTTCCAATTATAATATATAAGATTACTTCAAAAAGTTCCTAGAAAACGGAATTAAAGGACAGCTTTATTTTGGTTCAGAAGAAATTGAGATCCTACAGTTTTTTCATGATATAGTTACAGTGGTCATTTGAAGAATCATTGTATACATGAATTTCAAGATTTTTTTTGCAGCAACATAAACTTATATTTGAATCCCATTTTCCATGAACTTTTTGAAATCCAGATTCTGTTAGTGTTACAAGACTAAAAGATGAAATCTTTCCGATATCTTTCAGTTTGTTATTTCTACTTAAACGAAAAGAGAATAACTCCATAAAATTCTTCAGAAGTCTAGAAGGCAATATTAGTTAACTACCACTGATTAGTTCTACGGGGCCTGGTTCAATACATTCTAAGGAACAACAATTTCTGCTTACATTTCTTGTGATTTCTGTGTAAATTACCATCAGTTTTCATGGTGACCTCAAACTCTGTATAATTGCTTGTGGGTGAAGATCTGAGTATCTGACAAACTTCTTGCAGTGCTGGGTCCACAGTGGAACTGACTTGGAGGGAACACAATTAGAGAGCTGACCTTGTTTCTGCAGGCCACAGGCAAGTGCTGGCCAGATGGTCCAAATCAGATGAAGATTCTCAAGGATGAGTTACTTCCCTCCAATCTGGTCATGTTCTGACCTTACATCAGAAAGAAAAGCCCAAACAATGAGTTGGGACAACCTCTCTAATGTGTACTTCTGATCATGCCAGGGACATATCTCTTAAGCTGTCGCACCCACTGCTGTCACTCCTCTCTGCTCCATGTGGTGAGGATGTGAGAAGTCTTGGGGTGGAGTAACCCTGGAGGCAAATCTGAAGCAAGGATATAGGTGCAAACAACACAAGTAAGCACCAGCACAAGAGCAGGGACCTGGACAGGAGTCAGCCACAAGGGGGGCTTGACAAGGTCATTCCCCACTGTGGACAGCTGGGCTTCTTCCTATCGGGCAACCCTGTGAAACAGAACACACATCCTGGAAATGTTTCACCTGCAGGACAAGGAAGCTGTGACATTTTTGCCTCCACTCCTCTGAGTGATTTGTTGAGGAGTGTTTCTTGGAAGACATCACCTCTCCTTGATGTCTCCCTTCTCACCTGCTTTGGACATGAGTGAAAAAGACATTGGAAGCTGGAGAAAGCTGTCAGGCATGGGTTAAGTACCACAACTGGAGTCAAACAGATGAATGCTGAACAAGTGAGTGAAGAAGTTGTATGGTTATGGGCTAAACAACAATAATGGATTATCTATCTATCTATCTATCTATCTATCTATCTATCTATCTATCTATCTATCATCTTCCACTCTCACACTAGAAGACACTTGAAAAGGTTGTAGACATTAAAAGACAAGATTATTTTTCTGAAAAAATTTTGGAAATCCAAGCATAAAAGGATACAAGTGTCTTTAAGAAGTTCATGGATGATGCATATTTGGAAGCACTATGCATCTACAATGAAATAATTTCTTCAAAGCATTAAGTACACCATTAATATAATCAAGCCACGGGAGTGTAGAGCTGGCAAGAACAGGATTGTTAATAAGCAGATATTCTGGAAACGCTACTCGTGTGCTAAGTACCTTGCTTATGCGTATCACAGTTCATCTTGTGTAATGTTCACAGATTCTGCGAGGGTTGAACAAGGATCATCCTTTTATGGTAAGAAAAATGAGGGACAGAGAAATTAACTCACAGCTAAAAAAAAGTCAGAAATATTCCTTCCTAACTTCTCTAATTTACTGGTGAAGAAACTGAACCACTGCGGGCAATGTCTTGTCCAAGATCATGCACTTGCTGTAGGCTGGGCTAGCTCTTAGCATGAAGGTATTCAACTCCCACTGTGCTTTCTCCCGTCATCATGTGTAAGCATACACCGATGCTTTGCCACCGGCTGTTCTGTTTGTAGCCAAGTCTTAGAGAAGTGTCATAGAGAACGTCCTGAGGAGGCACTGTGCAGTGTTGGGGACAGTACCACAAGTGATACATATATGTACCTGTTTCCCTTCCATTGCTCCTCTCATTTCCTTGAACGTTGAGGTGAACTCTCCAATGAAGTCATGCTTGCCGTTGGAGTCCCAGTCCCATACTATGCACTGCAAGAGAAAAGAATTATGCTTAACATTTATTTATTTACTTATTTATTTAGGTGGGGAGAAAAGACAAAGAGAGGAAGAGAGAACTCGAATCTCTCAGCTTATTCCCGAAATGCCCATGATGGCTGAGCTTAGTTAGGGTGGGCTGAGAGCAGGATATGGGAACACAACAACCCAGGTCTCTCACAGGGCAGGAACTCACCACCTGAGAGCTCACCATAGCTTCCCCTTATATCCTTTGTATTATCTGTAAGTTGGGAACCGAATCCACGTACCCTAATATAGGATGTGTGTGTCCCAGAACAAATGCTCACTTCTCCCGCCAGCCTGCACAACTGAGAATGCAGTTGTCGGAGCTGAAGGCAGTATGAACTTTATGAAAAACATAATGTTCCCACGGCCTCAGTAGTCTTTTGGTTCGCCTTTGTGCCCTTAACCACAGCCCCGTGATTACAATAATGTGTTCATTTTACAGATAAAATCAGTAAGACTGAAAGATAAGTGACTTTCAAAGGACCATCTAGTGAATGAAAATCTGGGATTTTAAAGGCATTTGTCCTGCCTCCATGGAATTCTGGTATTTTTCTTCCCCATTACAGAGACTGTCCCTGGTTTACAGCTGGGATTAGATGCCGAAGTCTGTAGATACAGTATCAACAATGGCAGTTTCTGTTTAATTATTCAAATGGAGTCAGATGATTTACATTTAAAAAATGACTTTGAAGGCATAGAGTGATATCGACATTAAGGAAGGAAAATGAATGAAACCAAGATGGACGGAAGAAGTTGACAAAGGAAACACATTGCTAAATATCACACATCCATCACACTTAAGATGTGACCATTCACTTAGAATAATAACAATAATAAAAACTATTTATTTGGGGACAACACCATGGTGTAGTAGTAGCTTAAAGCTCTGCCTATGAACCCAGCATCCCATGTGGAAGCTGGTTCATGTCCCATCTGCTCCACATCTGATTAAGCTTCTTGTTAATGACTTGGAAAGCCACAGAGGATGGCTCAAGACTGCAGGCACCTGCACATCTTGGGGAGATCCAAAAGAAATCTCCTAGCCCCTAACTCCTGGCTTCAGATCAGCCTAGCTCTGGCCATGGCAACCCTCTTAAAATGTGGAAGACTTCATAGGAAAGTGTTTTGTTAAAAAAAAAAGTGTTTTAGAAAACATGAGTAAGATCTTTGGAACTAATACATTAGAATGAAACTGAACAAAATTAAGACAAAGGGAGCTAAGCTGTTTTGTTGAAAAAAAATACTGCTAAAGCATGCTTTTCGCTTGGTAATTAGAAGCACAGAGTGGGGAGCAAGGGACGTGAGTTGAGAAGAAATCAGAGCAGGTTCAATCAGAGGGCTGAGGATGGGCCACATATTGGGTGCAAGAGGCAAGCAGTAGGCAAGGGATATTGAAAGAGCAGTGTTGTATTTCCAAGGTCAGGTTATTTATACACAACCACAAGAACGTGCCCTTATCCTGTTGACCCCGAGTCTTCAGTAAGCCTGCTGCTCATAACAGCATTATGCTGATTGTGGCTTGGAGATTGGATGTGCCTTGAGGAAAAGGAGGCCAGAGAGTGTGAGACAACTGGCAGTGATAGATATCTGGGCAGGGTGGTAGAAATGGCAGGTGACTCCAAAAACAATATTCACAGAAACATGAGGCACTTCTGCAGTCACATGGAATCAGAATTCATGCGTGTGTGTTTAGAAAAATAAAATCCAGATAAAATCATCATTCAATTTACATTAGGTTTTGGACCACGATCTGTTACTTAACTCGAAGATGTAAAAGTATGAAAATCCTATTAATATGATCATTGGATTTATAAAGTTTGCCTTTCATGTAGGATGCTGGACTCTATGCCATTGTCATACTGACAGTGTCAGGATACACTTAAATAGCAGAATGATGGACTTATGACTGTTTATGAAGGACTATGATATTGTAATAACATATGGAAAATCATGGCAGAGAGGGGATTTGGAGAGGCAGGTAAAAGAAATCCTAGAGTCTATGGAACTGTAACATAAAATAATAACACTAATAAAATATTTATCTATTTTTACTGGAAAGGTGGATCAGATTTGTGGAGAGAAGGAGAGACAAGAGAAAAATCTGCTGGTTCACTTTCCAAATGGTCACAATGGCGGGGGCTGAGCTGATTTGAATCCAGGAGCCAGGAACTTCCCCCAGGTTTCCCACATGGTTGTAGGGTCTCAAGGTTTTGGACCATCCTCTTCTGTTTTTCCAGGTCATGAGTAGGGAACTGGATGGAAAGTGGGGTAGCCAAGATATGAACTGGTGCCCTTATGGAATCCCAGCACTTGAAAGGTGGGGCTTTAGCCATTGAGCCATCACACTGAGTCCCAGAAATGCTTCCCAAAGCATATTATTGCTGATGTGCTTGCATGCACCATTTACCAGGAGCTAAGGTTTCTAGACCGAGGAAGGCACAGACTGGAGTCTAGCTGTGGCCTCCACTATTAATCAGCAGTGAGACACTGGGCAGGTCAACAAATCTCTGGGTGCCAGTCCTCATCTGCAGCATAGCAGCTTAATGCTAATGTTTTATCCCAGGAATTTAGTTTTCTCTAGAGCTTGCTAAATTTCATATGCCCAGGCCCTACTTTCAAGATTCAGATGTAGCTATCAGGGATGGATTGCAAGTGTTTGCCTTCAAAGCAAGCAAATCACCACTTCAGATGCTGTGGTCTCTGGACACTGAACAGAAAAATCCAGAAATCCTTGATGGGACTAAGTGCTGACAGCAATTACACCCTGAATCATAGTGTATTCTTCAATTTAATAAAAAGCCCCAAACAACATACAATGGCCATCCTGGCTTCTTAATGGCCATTTGATGTAGGATGGCTCTAAGTAGGCAAACAGAATCCTACAATGTTGTACTCATGCAGGCCAGACTGCCCAAGAGGGGAAGGTGAGGCTGTGTGTGCTTCATCTTGCCTTTCCATAAGTCTTTGTTATTCTGGACTGCAGCTAAGCCTCAAGGCATTCCATGGTGAAGTGTGCCACTCCTGGGAGTATTCATTGGAGATTTACAGTCTTCTGAGGCATGGTGAGTTCAGATAAGCTTCAGAGGCTCCCAAATACTTGTCTGAACCTTTTTAACTTCACACCTCGCTACTCTTTAGGAAGGCTGAAACTCCCATGGCTTTGTGGGCAGCCGAAGAGGCAGGCCTTGACAGCGACTTACACCTCAAGCGTTCAACGAGATGATCAGTCATCTCTGACTCAACCTGCGTCCCTCTTCTACCAAACTGTAAGGTGTAAGATCTCAGAACCCGACATTTCATCTGGGGACGGACACCCTTATGCGCATTACAAATGTAAGCACAATCCCTCAACCATGAAGAGATAAATGACAATACAAGAATGTCCAGTGGCCTATTGAGGCCACTGTAAAAAAAAAAAAAAAACTTACTTACTCATTTCTTTATACATGTATCTATTTGAAAGGGGGAGAATGAGTAACTGTATATGTGTGTGTGTGTGTGTGTGTGTGATGGGGGCGGGGAGAGAGAGAGAGAGAGAGAGGATCTTCCATCTGAACCTTGGTCCTTGGGAGAGAGTCTATATTCTGTAAGGCTGAGATCTGAACTATTGAGGGCCAGAGAGGAGTTTGGGAATTGATCACAAAGTCTTATGTTGTTGTCATCTGAGAAACTATACGATTCTCTGAGCCCATGACAGGTAACCATAGCTTCGGCCAGTAACATGCCTGTGTCTTTGTTTCTGAATGAATCATACTGCATGCTGGTTACAGATTGTTATACTTTCATGCCTAGTTGGATACCCTAAGAGGATGAGGCACTTGGAAAACCAGAAAAGAAAAATTAACTCCATTTATATGGTTTAATCAGTCTGAAAACCTTAAGCTGGTATTCTGACATTCACTGACAACCTGGAGGAAGTTTGCACAGCCAGGTAAATTGAAGATGGTGTATTGTGAATATAAGTTCATTTCCTTATTTTTACGGTTTAATCACTGTTTCATGCAACCGACAAATGTTCAGTACTTGGGAATTTTTTAAACTAAGCAACAAAACAGATCCTAAAACCACAGAGAAAGAACCTGTTCCTAACCAACCACATAAAAATGTCTTGCAACTGCCATATCCACACCGATTCTGAAAGTTTAAATTGGACTGACTATCCATTGTTTGAACAACAAAATAAACCCAGGCATTCTAGCCAGTTTTGTAAAAATTCTTCTAGACTTCCTTGCTTTTTCAGTATTACTGGGTTTCCTGGCTTGCCTGTCTGGGCCACATGTTTGTACCTAAGCACAGTGCCATTGGATCTTGGAATCTTGATAACCCTTGCTGTTCTCTTACCCACCCACCTTCTAAGTAACCAGTATATCTTATCCAGGTGTGGATTCTGGGTTCTCACTCAGTGATGGCATTTAATTGAAGCCTTTTGTAGCCTTGTGCTTTGCTCACCCTAAAAACGGCTTGAAACCAAGCTTAGGATAATCTAATATTTTTTGCTTTGTGAAATTTCATTGAGTTACCTGTGACAGGTTCTTTCTATCAGCAGAAACTTATTTTCCACATCATGGAGACTTTCTGCATAGATACGGTCTTTCAAGGCCTACCCCTCTGGGTTTGGATGCTCACTTACTAGATGAGGAAACACAGTTTGGAAATTCCACGACAGAAGCAGAAACAAACAGACAAAAAAGTACTAAATTTTTGGTCTAAAACTGCTTACAATGACACTCTGTTTATCAAAGAGGATTGATTTTTCTTTTGTAAACAATGATTATTGATGGGCTTTAGGCTTCAAGGTTGAATATTTTCCCAAGAGAGTTGGTTCCATGTGTCAGCCTGAAACTATGCTATTCCGTTCATCTGGATGGAGTCAGACCCACATGCATGAGATGGACAAGCTTAGAGCTAAGATTTTCACAGTGCCATGCAGGGTCACTGACCTTTCTTATCAGGCTTATTACCCAGAT